TATCGTGCCAACGTTTCGATCTTTATTGAGCCCTGAAGATGATCTCAATAAAGATCGAAACGTTGGCACGATAAAGAAAATATTTTTCTAAAACCTACGTCACACCAGACCGCATTTCACGATCTCTGAATAATCATTATTAATAATGGTTTTTTTCCTGCGTTCATCAGTGAGTTTGATTCCAATTTAATTTCTATTAGGTTTTTCTTTATGTGATGCTGTCTGAAAATGGAAATACTGTAATGCATTTATGATAACGAGTTCAATTATTGAATACAAATAGTTATCAATAAATAGTGTATACGTTATTTTCTTGGCCTTGCGTACCATTCAAGAATGAAAGATAAATATGTTGAGAACAATACAAATAAATGTCATCAATCGTTCATTCATGCATTCTTTCTCAAATCCAAAATGTGTATTTATTTACGTGGCGAATTGTTTTCTATTTTTCTATCTTGCATTTGAATTATTACAGTTGATATTCACTTGCTTGTGACTTTATACTATGCATTTGTCGCCTATTCTTAAATTATTAAATGCACATAAAATTACGACATTCTTATAGTGGTCGCGATTGATGGGATTATTGTAGCGAACTCAACAAGAAGCAATTGAGCCGCGTTGAATCTGAAATCACCCCGGCCACAGTGTCGAACCTAGTTGCAATCCAACTTTCGTCAGCTGTACAATCGACATTTAACCGATCTTACATCTCTCATCCATCTTTGTGGAATTACGTGTTTTGTTCTTGTACACGTGCGTAAAATGCGTCTCAGTTCGTAGGATGTTGTTCGTACGTTCGCAGATAAGCAGAGTCAGATTTCAGGTGGGGAAAGAACCGCTACACCGCTGCTTCCGGACCTTTTTATTAATTCCGATGATGAAAATGGTGAAATTTCACCATCCGATAGACGCAGGCTTTCCAATTTCGTAATATCCCTCTTTTTTTCCAGTCCTGAACTTATTCTTCTGGACATAAAATGTGAAACTGTGATTTTCATCAGCGTTGATTTAATAAGTCAGGAAGTGCAAAGCCCGAACACCAACTGAGAGAATAGACCAATAGATCATCGTTTTCAATCTTAACTAAACGGAGAAAATGTTTTGTCTACTTTCTTCTAAGATGCTGAGCAGTTCAATAACAACATTCGATAAGTTTTGAAATGCGGACGATTATACTGTTAGGAAACGTTTGGACATAATCCCAGCATCTAACGAAACGCTCTTCCGGAATTTTCGCTTCAACTTTCTCCTAATTTGTGAATCCTTCTCTAGACTGGTTTGATTTTTATGAATATAAAACAAATCTATAAAACATTGAGTGATTGGTATTTTTAAGTCGTAATCCTGTTTATCTTCCGCTTAAGTAAACTTTATCATATAAGGGACTGTTTGTACAAAAAGTCAAACAATTGTTTCACATCTTGCCTTTAAAATACACTAGAAATCTTATCTGAATTATTTCAAACTTTCATTTGTCTATTGATTTTGTTTATTCTCCCTTTTTTTAATCATTTAGAATGAAAAAATTATTTCTCTTTACAAAAAATACCAGATAAGGTATAAATTTACTAATTAAAAGTCGATATCGTGACACAATACGTACGACATGTGAGAGTATTGAATTTTACTTTTTAATTCCAGCCTGGGAGATCATTTTTTCAACCTAAATATTGAAGTATTTAATTTTATCTTGAGTTCGGAACATTAAATTTGAATGTGTGGTGGTTAATGACCGTTAATCGATAATTATTCAGAAATCGTGAGATGCGGTCTGGTGTGATGTAGGTTTCAGAAAAACATTTTCTTTATCGTGCCAACGTTTCGATCTTTATTGAGATCATTATTCAGGGCTCAAAGTGTTTGTCTTCTGTGTAATTGTGCCATTCTTGCTTGTCATGTTGAGAGTTGCCCACGGGGCGCCATTTTCAACTAATACATTTTATAAATAAATTAAAAATAAAACCAGCATTAGATAAATAAAACAATTATAATGCACTAAACATACATCATGCTCAATATACATATATACAGTGGACGCCGCTTAAAAGACTCACTTTGGGACCAGCAAAAATTGAGTCTTATAAGTGAATGAACCTTATAAGCGAAGAAAACAAGATTGTAGAATGTATGTAATACACAAACTTTATTTTACTTGTCAGTACATATAGACATAGCGTATCATTCACCTCTAAAGTAAAAATTATTTGGAGATCGTGAGGTGCGATCTGGTATGACGTAGGTTTTCATGCCAACGTTTCGATCTTTATTGAGATCATCTTCAGGGCTCAAAGTGTTTGTTTTCTGCGTAATTGTGTCATTGTTGTGTGTGTATCTGCACTCTCACCACGACACACAAGAATGGCACAATTACACAGAAGACAAACACTGAGCCCTGAAGATGATCTCAATAAAGATCGAAACGTTGGCACCATAAAGAAAATGTTTTTCTGAAACCTACATCTCACCTCACGATTTCTGAATAATTAAATTTTAAAATGAAATAGGTGTATGAAGTACAACAGTTTCATATTCCACTTGTTAACTGAAACAACACTCCTATGAAATTTACTTCCTGTAGAATTATAAGAATTCCACATACTAAAAACTAAATAAATTGTGTCGCACTTGACTTCATTCTAAGTCTAGTTCATCGAAACACTGCGGTTTTCATTGTCGTTCTTATGATTTGTATGAACTGCTTTACTATTGAGATTTCTTCTTGAAGTCGGTTGGGTGATGATTCTGTTGTTGGATTGTTTCCTTTTATCCTGGTTTGATGTGTCAGACTCTATATATTCTAGGTGGCTAAAGAGCCTTATGAACTGCGTCCTTAAATTGGCACTATTGTGCTCCTCGAGCTTCAGCCTGTTTATGTGCCTGCATTTTCTTGACAGTTGCTTGTATTCGGCTTATTTGCCTACACATTCTGTCAGAAGAGTTTAGTCTTCACTGGTGGATTTCTCATGTAAGCGCACAAGTGACTAATTTGATTACAACCAATTTAATCCATTGGTGATTGACAACGTTCAATTCTGATTTGGTTCTAGCATAATCATTACCGATGTCGTCAAATTGTTGCGTGAAGTGCGTTTTGATCGTTGCGTCCTTTTGAGTCTTGCAATATTACTGATCCTGATCCAAAATCGAGTTTCCATAGTTTCAGCCGTATTTACGTTGCTAACAAAAATTTCGAAGAAATGTCCTAACGTTGGATTATACGAGAGGTGATGTGATAATCCTGTAAAGAATCCAAGCCAATATTTCTAGAAGAATATTTGATCCTCATCAACAATCAATTCATAGGTACATACTTTTTAACTTTCGTACGACTCTTTCTCTCGTTTCAGCCTTTCCGATTTGGCGGATTGTGGTTAAAAATGGCATTTCGTCAAATTTAGAACTTTAATCTCGTTAGAGCGATATAGAAGGGAAGGACGCGTCGGGGCCGGCTCGCGTGCCTCCCCAAGAAGCCACACGTAATGGAATCTGATTAAAAAGAGGAAAGAATTCTATTAAAAGAGTGTAAATGCGTACAAACGGCTCGAAGTCGAAAATTTTTCCCCGTGCGCGCTGGCATGGCTTCAAAGGGTTTTTAGTACAAGCTGATTAATGCGTTCAAAAATTTCGAATTTTGTCATTTAGGCTCCATCCTGCATTTATATTTTATCCCACTACTATTAACCTTCGTCGAGTACCGCCCATGATCGATTTCGAGTGGTCTCAGTCCTCGTGCATTTGTATGTTTTAGCATAATCGCTTTTTTTCAGTCTTGCTTATAACCACAAATTTAATCAACCAATACAACACCGAAAAGCACAATTATCACATCATGCATCAGCCTTAATAAATAATACATTGTAAAAGAAAACTCCTGCAAAATGTATGAGGATTTATAATTAATTTTCCTGCTTTCATAGTGAAAATTGAAAAATTAATATTAACAACATATATCACTTAAACTGCACGATATATAATTTATAAACTGCATGATACAAACAAGATAAAACATCAGAGATTTACACTGTGATGTTAAGTGTTCCATGACGTTTACATGCAAAAATTCTATTATACATGATAAATGTCAATGTGACATTTGCCAGACCACACAACCATAACCTCATAGAATAGTGACCACATTTCTTTAGAATGTAGACACGGAGAACATCATTTTAAAAATGTTTAAAGTGTTAGATGTATTGACATACTACTCGACGGACAATCAAAATTTCCAGTGAATTACAAAAGATTAATATATACCATGGTTCTCAAACCTATATGGACGAAATGTTACTAACTCTGGGGTCAACTAAGCATTCCAACTCCTAACGCATCCAAAGATTCCAATCAAAAGTCTAAGAAAAATTTCTTTGGTTTCTTTTCAGGAACTAGATAACCATCAAATTAATTTTCTTTTTATTGATATCTCGGGGACATCACCCTCCCTTCATCAGTCTCGTTTTCTTTTTGGGAACACATGATAAAAAGTCAAAAACCAGAAAAGAAGAGTAAAAAATATATAAAATACCTAACAAAAATTGTTAACCCTCCTGATTGTGTTTTCTTGAAAATGGTTTAGTGTTAAATGTATCGACCACTTTTGTTCATGAATAGTCTGGATCTCGGGATGGTCTGGATGGAAAAAATCAAATTCAATTCTTACTGCCAAGCTTCACAGAACTTGGCAATGTTGGGGCTGAGTTGGTCTTCAAAAACATTTGAAACCTCATTTTGAAAAGAAATATTTAAGTTGTTTTGCCCTGATGACGATTTTAAGATCAAAAGCTAGGCAGATAACAAATGAATTTGTTTTTTCATCCAGACCATACATGCGGAGATCCAAACTATTTGCGTTTTAATTGTTAACTTTCAAAATGATTTTATATCATTAAATATGAATAATTAACAACATAATGAAACATTGAAAGCTGATGGTGTTTTATAATATAATGAACTTTTTTAAAATACTAATTATAATAAATTTTTATTGTTTTCAGTGTGGTTCGCTGGAAGTGGGGTGTGAGTGGAGGGTACCAACAATGGAGAGTATGGTAGGAGGGACAGGAGGGCAGCAGAGGTTAGCTGTGTTGAGCTATGAACAAGTACGGCGCCTCAATGACCTCATGGACGAGGTGGTGTCAGTCCATGGACGCGGGAATTTTCCGACTCTGGAAGTTCGTTTGAAAGATCTGGTCAATGTTGTGCGGTCTAAACTAGAAGCAGACGCACGGAGCGGTGGAGCAGGCCTTAAAGTATGTTACTTTTTTTTTTTTTTTTTATAGATTGGTATTAATTGTAAATTTTAATTTTCAGGTAAGGGATATTAGACTGAATGGTGGAGCTGCTTCACATGTGCTGGCGACTGAGTCAACACCTTACAACGATTTAGATCTTATTTTTGGCGTCGAGCTGTCCGGAGGACGCAACTTTGATCGAGTCAAAACAGCAGTGCTTTCTTCATTGTTTGATCTCCTACCAGAAGGTGTGAGTAGAAAGAGAATCACCACCTGCTCCATGAAGGAAGCCTATGTTGGGAAGATGGTCAAAGTGAATCACGATGGTGATCGCTGGTCACTCATCTCTCTCGGTAATTCGAGAGGGCACAGAAATGTAGAACTGAAATTTGTCGACTCAATGAAGAGGCCTTTCGAGTTCTCAGTCGACTCATTCCAGATTGTCCTAGACTCTCTTCTGCTGTTCTACGAGTGCTCCGAGTTGGCAATCGGTGAAAATTTTTACCCCACTGTCGTTGGTGAATCCGTCTATGGCGACTTCCAAGAAGCTCTTTATCACCTCCACAAAAAGCTTATCGCCACCAGGCACCCTGAGGAGATCAGAGGTGGTGGACTTCTTAAATACTGCAACCTCCTAGTTCGCTCCTACAAACCAGCCGAACCTGACCACATCAAGTTACTCGAACGCTACATGTGTTCAAGGTAAGCTCAATTTAATTATGATGATCTTTATGAATGTGAAATGGGCTACATACACTTTTGCACAGTGCAGCTAGTAAATTTTTATCTTATGTTTCCATTTTATGTATCATCATCAAATTAAAACATTACAGAGTGAAAACAGCATGTTTATATTTTTTACAATTTACTTGAGTTAGTTTATGGCATGCAAAATGTTTAATTTTATTTATTTACATGGCCCAAATAAAATTAATATTATTTATGTTTCAGGTTCTTCATTGACTTCCCTGATATAGGACAACAAAGGGCGAAGTTGGAGAATTACCTTTGGAACCACTTTGTGGGCGGGGCCGAAGAAGAGGGCCTGAAATACCAGTACCTGACCATCCTGCACAGTGTTGTTGAAGAATCAACGGTCTGTTTGATGGGGCACGAGAGGCGGCAGACCTTATGCTTAATCGAAGACCTCGCCTGCCAAGTTTTGTGCAACGAGCAGTCACGCTACCTTGCCCAACATCCTCCGACAATCATTTACGCAGGAGGCTATTACTACGCACCGATCCTCTCTCCCCCCTGTAACTGCACATCCTACATGACATGCACATCGTAACCGCGCACCTTGAAATAGTATTCATTCCTTTGTATACTATAACTATTTAAGAGCAATATTAACTACACCATAAGGGAATGATCAATGAAGCGACTGTGCATTCAAAATTTTGTTAAACATTTGTCCCAATGAAAAATGCGTCATTTGTCTTACGTCAGTCGTGAGTTTAACAAAAAATTTTTAGTAGAAAATATTTAAAAAAAATTATATACAAAAGTTTTTTTTGTTCTGAATATTGTTGTTAGTCAGTGTTGGGGTATTGGTTTCCCTACTAGTCCCTCCTGCAACTTCTCCGACCTCTACTTGCTAGATTCTAGATGTTAGGGGATTATAAAAGGATTAAAAAAATAGCTGACTTTTGAGCAAAAAATATGTAAAACTTAAAAACAAAAAAAAAAAAAACAAAAAAAAAGTAAAATTAATAACTAGATTTTTTCTTTGACTTCCGATATAAAATATCTAGAATTAATGTCATAAAAAATTAAAATATTGATAATTAACTTAGAAAGTAAATTTGTAAAAAATAAGTATATATATTTGCTGTTGTAAGAAAGATTTATGATGGTTTCACCTGAAGTGATATATATTATATAAACATAATATATTCTTTTATGTGTAAAAAGGTAAGTTTCAAAACACAAGGGCACTAACTTCACTGTAATTACCAAGGTGTTTTCAGTGTTATGTACAAAAAATGGTAATATTCCTAATGATGTTTTACTATTTTTGGGAATTGAAATTTATGATTATACCTATTTTATTTCAATCATGTTGATTGTTTATTATGTTTTGAGTCTTTTCTTTTCTTTATTGTATATTTTATAGTATAATTGATATGTCAATTGAGGTATTGTAGCAAACTGATTTAATAATGCACTTCTCAATATAAATATATATACAACAAAAAAATCGATAAAATTGAAAAACTATACAGCTGAAATATATAGAGCTTGTAATATTTAATTAAAAAGTGACAGGATCTATTTTCAACGCTGTTACTTGCAAATGCAAGAGAATTGTTCAAATTCATAAACAGCCTCTATATATTTCCCCTGTAGACAAAAAAAGTACCTTTATAAAATTGCTAAGCATTTCATTTTTAAGCATGGCAAAAAGTTTAATAGATTGTTATGCATTATCGTTTTACAAATTGTACATCAAAGCAACACCATAGTGTACTTCATTGTGGGTCCTTTTCTTTTTCTTTCTTTCTTTCTTTTTTTTTTTTTTCAAATTAAGTCGAAACAAAATATGATGAATGAGCAATGTTTCCTATTGCAGAGATAATTTTTAATTGAAATATATATTGTGATCTACCTATCTAATGATGATTTCTTTTTTTCTTCTATAACTCCTTCCTTGGAATGAATAAATGTTGACATACATTATAAAACAAAATTTTGCATCGATATATTTTCTCCAGAATTGAAGCTCAGTTAGCTATTGGGTTTAGTAAGAAATAAAAGATGGCAAATTAATTCAAATTCAATGAAAACAAAATATTTATATTAAAAAAAAGTTTTCACAAGAGCACTTTATTAATATTTTCTTCTTTTTGTTTTTTGCTTTATTTTCTTAATAGGTTATTGCTACACTGAAATGATTTTAGACAATTTTTTGTTTATAATAATGAGTTTTATTGCTTGTAGCACATAATTTTTGTTTTCAACATACTTATCTACACTTGACAACATTTTAGTGTACTGTATTAAAAAAAAAAAATTAAATTGCAGTTTGTTTTTTCACTCTTGGCTGGCCTATCAAGGAAGGAGTTGTATTTAAATTTAAATATTAAGCTTTTTTTCCTTTTTTTATTAATGTTTTAGATGTGCCAAAATGTGTTACCTATTAGATCTTGTGTCATATAAGGAAAAATATAATTTAAGAAAAAAACCTTATATGCACTCAAATAACTTAACTAATCCTTTAAATCATCGGTGATGGGTTAAAAAGTTAGTTTTTAAGTGTCAATAAAATAGCAGTTTAATTGTTAAGAGGATGGCTCTTTTTTTATTTTTTATTACTTTCATTTAAGATCTCCAATTTATTAAATGACCATAAAGACTGCATATCAAATTCTATACTTTCAAAAAGGAATCAATAATTTATATATTTTCAAAACAATATTTGAGAAAAATGTGATAATAGAGTGAAGAAATAAGACTTAGCAAATGTTTAAAAAAAATAATAGAGAAATTATAAGAACATATTTATATTTTGTAAGTTTAGTTAAAAACAGGGTAACACCAATTAAGCAGGAGGTGATTTAGTTTCAAACAACCAGTTCCAAGAAACTGTATTATGCCCTGTTAAAAAAAGAAATCAAATTGCAAAAGAATGTCTATTTACGAGGGTAATGGCTTTTAATCGGGCTCGATGAATTTAAAAAAAAATGTTTAAAACAACAAAGCCCCCTCATTATCTCTGCAATGGGCGTTTTTTGGTGATAATGACCATTGATGTAAATACTTTTATTATGACAAACATCAGAGCATTATTGTAAAGATTCACCTTATGTTAAGCTTTACAAGTACAAATTTAAATGATTTGGAAATTGTTTACGGTTGAACAAGTTTGTTAGTGAATTGAAGAGTCTATAGAAAGAAATTTATTATGTTGTACAACCCATCCTTTAAAATATGTTAAAATGTCAAATATATTTTTATAGACTGCATTAGTTTTCTGACTAGAAACACTACTAATGTTGAAGTTTAAAAAAAAAATCATTAAAACAATTTGCATAGTAGCCTTAATTATGTGCATATAAAATTTATTACATAATAAATGAGTGGAAATTAAATATATTAGTGAAACACCAGTCAGTATAAGTATATTGTTTTCTATTTGGGAACTTGATTAAACTACAGTTATGTATTTAGAGGAAAAAGGATTTCAAAACCAAGAATCATTTAGAATTTTTTTATATCTGATATTTTATTACTTGAATGAAAATTATATGGGAAACACTAATTGTGCGTTTAAAATACCAGCAAGTAACTTGAATATAATTCATAATGTATGTTTTATTGTAAATATAATATATTATTAATGAAGTGCTCATTTCCTATATTAAATAAAGCATGTAATTACTGAATTCAAAGAATAAAGTAATAAACAATAGTTTGTGTTTTATTTTTTCATAAAACACAAAGTTCCTACACTTCTCTTTTTTGGATATTTTATTAGAGCACAAACGTGACATTTCAGTTGATATTAGGAAAATGGGTCGTGTATTACAAAAAAAATTCAGTCATGAAAAAAGTATTCAGTGCCTAACTGAAGTTGTAGTCAGAACTGAAGAAACAAGGAAGCACAAAACTAAGGTGGATGGATTCGTAGGTATATCACAACTCTGGCCATTCAACTAACTGGTGAACAGCCACACAAGACAGAGAGAGACTTGAAGCAGCATACTCATTATAATTTTTGTGTACATTGTAACTCAATAATGGGTAGGAACATTAACGATGATTATATTCAAAATGTCAATTACAATTTCAAATGCACACTGAATTATATTGTGAAATGCAAACATTACGCTGTTATAAGAATGTGAAACAAAGGGAAAAAAAATTTCTTGTGTTGAAAGGGGGGGGGGTCCATACAAAACTGAACAGCCCACCAGAAAGCAATGACAGTGGAGGGTCGAAAATGCCTGGGCAGTACAAGAAACAAAGGAAAGGAATGTTTGAAAGTCTTCACCTTACGTGTGTAAACTGTCATTAATACTTCTAACTTGTTGAAATTGATGCTTGATCTCAACAGCGGTAGAATGTCAATTACCAAGTACATTCGAAACAATAAAACCATCATCTCTCTAAGATGTGGCATGATGGCAACGAGATCTATGTCTCCTTGAGTAACCTCCAGTATCTTGGATGTGATGGAATACCCTTCAGACAGTTGTTCTCGGATTGTTAAGCACCCTGGACAAATAAGTTGACTTCTTCCATCTTCCAACAATGCTATGATTCTAGCCAAATCTGTACCACTTAAAACAGTCACTCAAACAAATTTGAAAATTAAAAATGATACAACCTTTTAAAAAATCAAACCACCGAGTTAACTTTCTAAAAGTTAGAAAGAAGCTTCAGAAATACCATTATAAAAAAAATTGACTATTCAAATATTTATTTACAAAATCCAATTGTAAACACAAGTTTTATCTGTTCTATTTACCTCTAATCATTTAAAATGGACCGAATATTGTTGTAAAATTATCAATGGAGGATTGTCTAAGAGATAGTTAAAAATATTAAGGGTGGCCACTTTTTTTGTAAAAAGTAGTGATAAATATACAAATAACTGAAATAAAATTTAGATAAATGTTTATTGCTTGAAATGTATAACTTTATACATATGTTTTCGCACTGAATACTATCTCGTATATGATTTTTGTTCTTGATTAAAGTTGATAAAGTTGCAAGACATTGTGTTGTTAATAATTTTAGCCCATTATTATTTTAATTTAAATGGCTTACTTCTATTTCATTGAAGGTGTTTATAGACTTTTTTTACAAAGTTTTTGTAAATGTAAGGGGTTTTAATCTCCATTTGTACATTTAATATAAATACGCACAACACCCTTAAATTTTAATTTATTTAGGTTTATTTATATTTTGCATACCAAAAAATAGTTTTGGTTAAAAATAAGACATGTACAAAGAAAATTTTTACTTCCTAATTCTTAAAAAAAAAATAATAATAATAATAAAAATAAAAAGTATTGAGTAAAGTACAATAAATAAAAATGTAAAAAAATTTTTTTGCCTCCTTTAATATCGAATTTTGGCATGAATTACATCCGCTAAATGCCTTTGCATTCCTTGGAAAAGATTTCTGGTAAAATCCTTAGGAATTCTTTCCCCTTCATCAAGAATAGCCGTTTCCTACTGTTCTAGGGTGTTAGGACATGGGTTTCACCATTGTATTCATAGCTTAAGTTGGTTCAAAATGTGTTCAATTGGGTTTAAATCAGGACTTTGAGCTGGCCAGGCCAAGCACTCAATTTCAATCTCATTCACAAAGTCATCCACAATACATGCTCTATGGGGCCTGGCATTATCCAGAAAAAGCAAGAATCTAACCAATGGGGGACCTTTTACTCATGCCATTAAAGATCTTCCTGGGAACAGCCAATTCGGTGTGGGTGTCCAAGGAAAAGCCACCTCAGAATGTCAATGATTTACTGTGGAATACCACCTGAGGAACAATACAGCATGGGGTGTTCCTCCTGAGCGTCCATGTTACGCCCACTGAAGATTTGGCTTATTCACATCTCATCTATAAAGAGAACCTGTCCCAATCTTCCAATGTCCAATTCACACGTTCCCATGCAAATTGAAGCCTGGCCATTTTCTAAGCTGTGGTAAAGGTCCAACCAGGTTGAGTTTGACGTTAATTTCATTGAACATTTCTTCTTAATGGATTTCTTATCTCATTTTCTATAATGCTGTGGTTTTGTAGAGCCTGATGATGGTTGTATCTAAGGTCTCTCTCATCTGTAGATCTAGGGATGAAAGAGGCGGCCCCAAGGTCTTCTGCACTCGACATGAGTAGGTCTATTGTGCTTCTCTAGTTTTTACAATTCACTGGACAGCTTCAGGTTGTTGACCAACCTCCAAAGCCCTACCAGCAGTTTCTTAGTGTAAAATCTTGCTTGCTCCTATTTGCAAACCTGCATCTGCATAGACCTGCACACAAACTTAAATGTGTTCTGTCACCACCACCTCTTCCTGGCAGTATCTGCAGTGTTTCTTGTGTCTGTACTTCTATCCATTGCATGTGACTTCTTAGGTAGCCTGTAGACCTAGGTCGACCCTCTCCTAGCCACCTAGTATGTTTTCTGTCTCTCTGAAGCATCAAAGAACCCTTCCTATTATAGAGTGATTTACGCCATTTCCTGGCGACTTAGCACTGGCTGTATTCTTCCGTTCTCGGATAATGTTATGACCCCGACAATGTCATCCTCACTGGACTCTACATTGAAACCATTGAAAAAGGTTTAAGAATAAGAAATAATATCAAAAGAATTCAATGAAAGAAAAAAATTAACTGAAAGCGATCTTTAGGCGTAGCAGTATGGAAAAGCATAAAGTACTTTTTGTGTAAACCAGTACAAAATTACACAAAGCTTTTGACTACAAGAGCTCCTAATTACCTGTAACTAATGCAGAAAGATAATGGATTTAATTTTAAAGTAAATAAATTAAGTGGTGCGTTAGATTTGTCCATCAGTGTAAATAAATATAGAATAAAAAGGTAAAATGACTTAACAGTAGAGGATAACGATAGGGAACTGATGATGATGAGATAAATGACTTATGCCTTCTTCAGGGCTTGTACCACATACCTGATCCCAAAAACAGTCCAGCTTCCAAAAAAGGATATCCTTGAAAAGTTTGTGGCCGTCCACTTTTTTGGACGGTCTTTTGAAAATTAGAAAATGTCCGCGTGGATCGCGTCTGAGGCGTCAGGCTTTGCAGATGGCGCCACGCCCGCTCCTCGGCGGCCGCCATATTTGCACGAAATCACTCCGTTCCTCGGCCATCGGTTGAGCGTCGCTTCGTTTCACGTTTTCGTGTATTTTCCGTTTGACGGGCCTTGAGGCGATTTTTTCACGCGAGGTGATGAATCCGCTCCAGTAGCTGCCAGACGAGAGAAATTTGATTAAAACCCGTTTATACTCGATATTTGGGTAAAAACATCGTTTATGATGATGACCACGGAGGAAGAAAAAACCACAGCGGTCAAGAGGGAGTTGGAAGGTAACCGCGGCGTGGCCGCTTAGTCCACAATTTATTTATTTTTTTAAACAAAAATCATTCTTACAGGATATTTACACTCAGATTTTTTTTAAATTCTGCCAGGTTTCCACCTTCATGCGCGCAGATGGGCCGATACGAGTATCGGTTTTTTTTAAAGATAAGCTGCACGATGGCTTGGTCTCAAGGCCTCGGCGAAAAATATCAATTCTCTCTTAATCAATTTATTTCCGGTTAAATTAAATTCGATCCAGACAAACAGCTAAAGTGCTTTTTTTAAGCCGGAAGTACTTTTTAAGTTCGTAAAAACCATGTGCGTGCTTGATGATCATGCCAGTATAGTACTCTGCCCCTGCGAAATTTTTACAGTCTACCTCTGAAGCATGGACACATTGCGAAAATAAAGGCAATTAGCCTCAATCACCACTTTAAAAATTGTGTGTAACACGCATTTACACTTTAATTGGAATTAATTTAAATTTAATTTGCTATGACAAAAAAGATCAACCTACATTCAGTCACAAACAGTTTGCAAAAAACTTTTCAAATTTCAATAAGAATGGGCTAAACTGAATAACACAATGTCTTGCAAGTATAAACTTAAATTTCAAAAAAAGTTAATTTGTAGAAATGAGAGCATACATGTATTTTCCGTTTGACAAGCGTTGAGGCGATTTTCATGTGATGTGATGAATCCGCTCTGTTAGTTCCCAGACAAAAGAAATTAAATTCGACAAATCTAAAATGCTAGTTTGTTTAGTTGTTAGTACTTTTTAAGTACGTAAAACCATGTGGGGTGCTTGGAGATCAGGCCAGATCGCACTCTTTGCCACTGCGAAATTGTTACAGGCTACCTCTCATGCATGGACAAATTGCGAAAATAAAGGCCAATTAGCCTCAATAGCCACTTTAAAAATTGTGTTTAACACGCATTTACACTTTAATTGGAATTAATTTAAAATTAATACACTGTGACAAGATAGAGCAGCCTACAACTTGCAAAAAACAGTCTGCAAACACCTTCACTGAAATAGAAGCCAACCTTTCAAATTGCAATAATATTGGGTTAAACTAAATAACACATCTTGCAAGTATAAACTTAAATCACCAACAAAAACCATAAATAGTAGTTAATTTGTAGAAATGAGAGCATACGTGTATTTTCCGTTTGACGGGCCTTGAGCGATTTTCACACAAGGTGATGAGTCTATTCTAGTGTCTGCTACTGGGCGAAAGAAAGTAAATTCAATCAAGACAAATAGTTTTAAGTCAGAAGTACTTTTTAAGTAAGTAAAACCATGAGGGACTTGCAGGACATGCCGGTATCTTTGTACCCTTGGCCCCTGCGACATTTTTACTTTCGACTTCTCAAGCACAGACAAATTGTGAAAATAAAGGCCAGTTAATTGCCAATTGCGTTATGCATGAAATTTGCCTGAGTTTACTCTCAGAGGAGTAACTCTTGATGTCAACTCTCACGAGTCCACTTCACACCGTTTACCAACTAATAATGGCCATTTGTGAGAGTGATTTTTATACAAGATGTCAACACTGAAAAGAGAAGTAGCAGCAGCGATAGTAGTTTTGTGCTTATTGGGGGAGATAAATAAAAATGGGTCAAATCATAGATACAAATGGGTTAGAACGGGAATTGGAACTTGAAGAAGCCCCATTAATTTATGAATTTTTGCATATTTTCAAGTGTTGAAGTTAAATTGATGGTAGAATTAGTCCTATAATTTTAAAAAAGACACTGCAATGAGAGTGAATTTTGTTCGCACGTCTTATGGTTGCCTTACGATTAATTGCAGGGAGTGGATAATTGAAGTCTGTTGCTAATTTCTCTGTCTCTAGAGGTAGGACTATATTTGCTTTAATTTTGATTAAACATTTGCTATCTTTTTCCATTGTGATTTTTAATGTTTGTGGGAATGTTTATCACATCTGTTGAAAAAGGGTATTGAAACAATTTGAAAATTTCAACGTAAAGGGTAATTGATTCTATGTTATTGTCAAATAGCTTCCCCCTTTCCCTCGCCTTTATTACAAATATCATTGAGCCAGTTATTGTCGTCTTCTCAACTCTTTCATTAAAAGAAACCTTATGAAAGTAGTATAATTCAAACTCAGTATACTTGATTCATAATTCTTTCTAATCTGCTTTCTACTTTCTATGCATTTTCAAATAAAATATGTTTGACACCATTTATACGACCACAAATACAGATATAGAGTAACTGTCGCCTAAAGATAAATTTGGCTAGACACCATTGTAGATTTAATCATGCCTAATCCTAAAATTATCTTTAAACTTAAAATGTATATCTGAGATAGTAATTAGCAAATTAAGGCAAGGAACTAATGTGCAAACCATTTTTTTTTCACAAGTTGATTTATAAACATGTTTAAATCTTCAATACCAAAATTAAGCCAGTTTGTGACTAAATTTCATTAATCTGTGTTCAATATGTCCCTTATTTTACTTAAAAAAATCCAGGCCTTCTACATAGATAATTGTATAGTTTTTTTAGCACCATTGTTTTTTTTGACAATTTTCAGTGATTTGTACGTGCATTTATATGTTAACGTATGGCAAAAAATTGGGCTCAGTATATTTTGTGAGCATAAATTAAGTTTATATTTGAGAAAAAAACTTTTATTTTCATAAGAAATATGAATTTTGGATGTAACTTCTGTTTTTCAAATTTAAAATACCAAAATACCATTGAAGTGAAGACTAACATTTAGAGGCTGTAGAAGATCTAGAGTCGGTGGAGATTGTCCTTTTTTGTACTTCAGTGATAATGCTTACACAGTTTTTGGTTGCATATCGTTTTTTATGGGTTTCTCTTTCGGGTTGAACAATTGTGGCTTCTTTTGCAACATTTTTCTTATTTTAATTAATTACTCTTTTAATCTAAGGTCTTAGTTGAGATGAAAAAGCAAGTGTCAAGTAGGATATGAATCCACAACCTTCAGCTCAATACACCGCTGCTCTGACCACTTGAGCTATGGTGGCTTCGATCCATCGGGAAACCAACTCCTCATCTCAACCCACAATCTTTTGAATTTTTCCCTCTTTTTGCCATATTTTTTGTTATTATTGATTTTCTAATTTTTTCCGTACCATACTTGCAGCAGTATGTTTGCACATTGCCCTTCCTAAAATCTAAGTAAGTAAAGGAGTTGTTTCTTCTAAATCTTTTATAAAGGAGTTATATTTTTTATATTAATATTATTCCCTTTTTTTAATGACTATCTTTTAAAAATTATTATAAATATTAATGTTGTATTATAATAAGCTAAATTTTTAATAGTCATATTTTTGTTCTTGATTTCCCGCAATGGCCAGTGTCACCTGCAAGTGACAGGCTGTAAGTTTTTGAATATAGTATTATTGAGAGAAAAATTGTACATTTACTGTAGTAATAAAGTGCCAAAGAAAAGTAATAATACAACACCTTATTTTGACTATGTGGCATTGGAGAGTTAATTTTGAGAAGGTAGTGTCATGTTTTGTTAATCTAATTATACTCAACTGTTCACATTCAGCTATGCATAGCATTTAAGTTGAATATGCGACGATGCTTAAAATAAATTTTTTTAATACTCACGGGGACCATGATTGGCGGGGTGCATTATTGCCAGGGATGCACCTTGGAGAGTCCACAGGGTTGAATTGACGCCCTGGACCTGGGATGTGAAGCATAAGCACATAACCCCGAGGGTCTACGAGTGAGACAATAAATGAAGAATTATCCTCAGACAACTTTCGTCCTCCTGACAGGGCATGGGTTTCATTTCTCCCGCTTGTCTCGGTCCCCGTGAGCTGGGCAGCAAATTTATGGATCAAGGCAGAACATGACCTACATTGTTGCATACCTTATTTAAAAAAAATAAAAGATTTTTTTAAAATCATTTAATATCAATTCTTATTGTCATAGGATTGACCAAGGAAGAGAGGAGGAAGAGGAAGAAGTCAAGATGGGGAGGGGATGAGATGGAAAAGTCTTTCATATTGGGGATGCCGACCGTGTTGCCGACAAACCTTAGCAAAGAACAGGAACAAGCCTATATCTGTAAGTTGATCTTTTCTCTAATGGCCCATATGATTTTTTTGTATAAATTAGTGAAATATATTTGTATTACATTTTACAAACGTTTTCACTAGCTGTAATAATAAGTTAATAATTTGTTTAATTATTTAGTACTTGATATATACATTTATTATTATAATATTACTAATTATAATGTTCATTTTCTTAATCATAATTAATTTAATTATTCTTCTGTTTTCTTATGTTATTTTTAGCGTATTATTTTCTTACAAAAAAGGGGTAATGCATGGTTATTTTTGGGACAATACTTAACACTTCTAAATTTGATTTTTTCCTCTATTAAAAACATGTTTTTTAAATTAAATTATTTTCTGAATAATTCGTTCATTTATTTCAATTGCAATTGGGTCATTACCAATCATCCTAGCCTGCTTATCCTTGGTGTGCTAGTCTGTCAGATTTGTTTTTCCATCATCTGTTTACATGTGATTTCTGTGAAATCAAATCTCTTTTGTATTGCGAGGTGTGCGTGCGCACGGGTGTGCGTGCGTGTCAGTATCTTTATTTGCCAGTGCTATTTGTGGAGTAAGGTGGGATTTTTATTTTTTATTTTTTTGGTCCTTTTTCAAGACTGACCAACACAGTGAAGATAGGCTGACCAATTTGATCGGTAATGACTAAATTACAGTTTCAGTTACTCTGAAGACCACACTAAGAAATCCACACTGGTTGATATTAAAAGTTCGTTTCATACTAATTTTGTTTGTTTTAACACCTCATTTTTAAGGCTAAAATTGATTTTCATGCTCTCGAATCCTCATTGCTGTTCTGTTGGTAAAAGCAATGATTTTAAAGAAAAACGGAACAAAATTAATTGTACAAAACTTGAAAATCATGATATTTAATAACAATAATAATTTCATAAATGTGTAAATTAATACATTTTTTCTAATAATTTAAGTAAAAATGAATACCACAAGAAAAAAATTGATATATTTGTGCAAATGTTAGCAAAATCGTCTTCCATGGGTTTATGAAGAATAAGACAGCTGTATGTAAGTATAAATGTTCACAAGAATGAAAATCAACTTTGTGTGCTAACCAACAAAACAGATGGAAAAAGTGTAAGAAGTAATGAGATGAAATTACATTGTACAATTGCAATCCCATGTAAACCCTAATTGAACTTTGCCTTGTGTGTTTTGAAAGTACATTTTTATTAATAGATGATCTTTGCTGCAGTACTTGGTACTTATTGTTTTTTCTTGTGAAATTTTCAAAAAGTCTAAAAAAAACTTTGGGTATGTTATGGGACTTCAGAACTTTAAAACTCACGCTTCACATTTGCTTATTTTATCAGGTTCATGGAAAATAATTGACTCACGGATATGTAACCTATACTTCACTAAACTCATGTGTACACCCCATGCAAAATCAATGATATAAAAATGATCACACAAAAAATTGTATTCAGCCAAACTCATATCCATGTTTAAAAAAAGGGGAAAAGTAATAGTACTAAATAAAAATTGAGTAATATTAACCTGGAATTATCATTTGAACTTAAAGCTTCATCCTGAGTTTATGATTTAAAAAAACAGAATCAACTTGTACATAATTTTGCCTAAATTTTATATTATTCATTTGTATGTTTACATTTAGAAAAATACACTAGACTTGCAAATTTGAAATTCGGTGAAAGTTGGTTCATTTTAAATAAATAAAAGATGATAGAAGGAAAAATAGAAGAAAAAGGTTTCATTTTGTTTGTTTTCTGGGAAGAACTACAAGATGCTTATTAATTACAGAACTTCAAAGGAATTAATGGAAATATAAATTTGTCCCAAAACTAACATGCAATGAAAAAGAGAAAATAAGAGTAAAATCACCATCGATTCACCCCGAATATGATAATTTTCTTTTGTTTTTATCATTTTTATTATTGTTGTTGATGACAGATGGGGCTCAAACCCCGCTTAATATCTTGTGATATTTCAGTACAGCTGCAGATTGAGGAAGTAAGCCGTAAACTAAGGACGGGAGATCTTGGAATTCCACTCAACCCAGAAGAAAGGTCCGAGATTTGTAGCCAATTTGGTTTGATTATTTTACAACGCAAAAAAACCCCATGAAAAAAAAAAAAAATACATGGAACAAAAAAAAATCCCGCCAGTTTTCTGTTTCTTTTTTTAGGTCAGTCTTTGGACATTTATACAAGATTGCTTCTAAAATCTGTGGTATCCAAAAATTTTATTAATTCTTTCTTTCGTAGTGTTATTGTGCCCTTTTTTTTTTTTTTTTAATTTATTTCCACTTATTCTTTGTATATTCTCTACATCATCCCATTCAGCTTTATTTTTTAATTAATTTTTTGTCCATGCCATCATTTTGGGCACAACAATCTCTTTTTTTTTAAATATATATTGTATTCACTTTTGGTGTTTAAGTACTGCTTTATTCTAAATTTAAAAAAATAATAATAATTTTTATTCGTTTTTTTATTTTAAAGTTGTTTACAATTTTCTAAAGATACCAAAAGTGGAATCGTAAACTATTATGATCATATCCTGTTTAAACTAAAAGGAAAAGTCGTCAATCATTTCAATAGTTTTGTTAGGTAAAACGCATTTTCTGTGATAAAACATATATTTCGTTTCACCTCTATGCCCTGGCGTTTATTAGGAATTTAAGCGCGGTTCGGATACAACTGAACTCGAGTTTCTTTTTCTACCTACGAGCTGACATTAATTGAAATTTTTTTCAGCACGCCCTGCAAAAGCCAACGAGAAAATTTACTAATAAATTCTGATATCAATGTTTACTAATTCAATATTAATCAATTTTCGCAGGTTCCCCTTTTTATTTTTCTAGAAGCCTTTAGTAAATTATTAATCTTTTTTGTTTTTCATTTCGCAGGTTTTAATCAATTATATTGCCATTTCACCATGATACCAATTTTACTCTAGATTTTTGCAGGCTAATAAAAAAATTTCTTTGCAGCCTCTAATAAAAAAAATTTCAGGTCAGCGGAATACGAAGCTTTGTGCATTTGGTTCCTCTTTAGAATTAAAAAAAAAAAGTCAATCTTAAATCACTTTAATTTCATTTTTTCTTAGCCCCAACACATTAAAAAAAAAAACTCGTGGTTTTTGTTAATCTTTATTATTATTATCATTTTTTCATCAAAAATTAAATCAGCTTGGGCTTTTAGTTAGGACTTTTTGTTTATAGCTCCTCGTACTTGAGTTCAGTTGTTTGAGTTAGGGTCTTTACCTTTGTTTGTGCAGGTCTCCATCTCCTGAGCCGATATACAGCAGTGATGGGAAGCGGCTGAACACTAGGGAATTTAGGACGAGGAAAAACCTCGAGGAGGAAAGACACTCGCTAATACAAAAAATGCTTAAAGTCAATCCAGATTTCAAGCCTCCTGCAGATTACAAGTAGGTTTTCGGTTTTATAACAATATATCATTTAAGTCGGGTTTAGATATTAATATAAACTTTGTACAGGCCTCCCATTGTCAGAGTTAGCGACAAAGTGATGATCCCGCAGGAAGAGCATCCAGATATTAATTTTGTTGGTCTTCTTATCGGACCAAGAGGAAACACCCTAAAGTGTACGCATTATAATTACAATTTTGAAAATCAATCATATATTAAATTCTCGATGAATAATATGTATAATAAATTAATATGTTGGAATTTCAGCAATGGAAAGGGAAACTGGAGCAAAAATAATAATCAGGGGAAAAGGTTCGGTTAAAGAGGGCAAAGTTGGTAGAAAAGACGGCCATCCTCTACCTGGAGAGGACGAGCCACTACATGCATACGTTACCGCAAATAATCCAGAATTTGTTAAAAAAGCTGTTGATAAGGTATGAAAAATTCTTTGCAACATCCCTTCTTTTTTTTTAGTATCTTGACTTAATAAATATTGAAATATGCTCAGACAAAAAAAAAGTACTGGACTCTCTTATTTTCTTGTGTATTCCAATCAACTTATAACAAACATATAGTCAGATCAGAAATTCATGAGTTGTAGTAAAAATTATATAATTATGATTGTTTAAAAGAAAATTCACCAAAAACACTGAAAATTAGATTAGATTTATTACATGGTTTTGCTCCTAACTGCTATACCTCCTCTGGCCTCACAAGAGAGCCTTAGGACTCTTAGGCATCGAGTAAATTTACTTGTGAAACAGAATCCCATTTCCCACAAGAGCGGTTTGAAGCGGCGAACGATGTCTAACCCATCTCTTAATCGTGTACTATAAATGTTCCATGGGATTCATGTCAGAAGAACATGCTGGCCAGTTCATTGTGGTGCTAAATCTTCAAATTATTGGGTGACAACTCTGTAACATGCGGTTGAGCTCATGCATTGATAAGAAGTTGTCTCCAATAGATGAAACAAATAGGACCACAGTAGCCAGAAAAACTTCCTCAATGTACCTCAGTGCAGCTAAGATCCATTTTGTATCAGTTCGGTACAGGCGTAGATTGCCCCCTGACTGTCTTTGAAAAGGCTGTAACTCACACATGGCACGTGAAGCAAAATGTTCTCCATTTCTTAGGATTTTTTTTTTTTAGATTAAGGAGATAATCAGACAAGGTGTTGAAGTGCCTGAGGGACAAAATGACTTGCGAAGGATGCAATTGAGGGAGTTAGCTCTGCTTAACGGTACACTTAGGGAAAATGATGGTCCCAGGTGTTCGAATTGTGGTGCTGCTGATCATAAATCATGGCTGGTAAGTCTTTTTTCCTTCCTGCCAAAATCATTTGACTAATTTTTTTATTTTTTCCAGTGCCCCGATAAACCAAATGTAACTAATTCAATAGTGTGCTCTACTTGCGGTGGAGCTGGTCATATTGCAAAAGACTGCAGGTCAAAAAGGCCCGGAGCTCCTGCTGTCAATTTGAAGGATAAAGCTAAGATTGATGAAGAGGTTCGCACGATTTTTTCCATTTTTAAACAAAAATTTGCAAATTTTTAATTTTTTTTTTTTTACAAAATGCTTTCATAATAATTTTATTTTTTATAGTATATGTCGCTGATGGCTGAACTCGGTGAAGGGCCCCCAGTTGATAAAAATTCACTTTCTGGGAAGAAACCAAATCAGGGAATAGGCCTTTTCGACAAAACAGGGATCAGAGGTGCAATAACAGCACCACCACCTGTTATCCCTGCTTCATTACCACCTCCACCATGGGCCAAAGTCATGGATGGGTCTCAGCCTTTAGCGCCACCAGGAGTGGGTGTTGTGGTTCCTCCACCGTGGACGCACGTGCCGCCACCTTGGACTCAACAGCCGCCTCCTCCACCACCCAGTTCACAAGGAAACAGTGTCACCTCGACTTCAGCCCCTCCACCCTGGACACACCAGCATCCGCCTCCACCGCCCATGTATTGGCCGCCAGCGCCACCCCCTCAGGCTTATATGACAGCACCGCCTCCACCACCACCTCCTCCAGATATGTCAACTCTTTTGACACCACCCCCTCCACCTCCACCTCCACAATAATAGTTTAGACATTGTATTTAAACCATCGTTTGTATGTTGTATTTTATTTTAATAAACTTATGCTTCAGTATTTCCTTCTTTTTCATGCATATGTAGTAATGCAAACGTGTCAGAATTGATCCTGTTGTCTGACATATGTTAACTTTTTAAAGCCATTTGAAATCCATATCCCTTGTAATAAGGATTATTAAAAAAAGGAAAGGAGAAACATTCATAGTATCCAATGATTCCAACCCTTGCTCACACCCTGTTGGACTGCCATAGATCAGTCGGAGTCAGTCTTAAGACACCCACTTCACCCTCTCCTATCATTGCTCTTATTGTGACCAGTGGTGATAACTTCATAGTTCTGTGGTGCACAATATATATTTTCATTTGTGATAACCACATTAATTCCACTACAGGAGCAGTCCAAGTTTTTATTTCCATAAGCCATAAGGGTGCTTCTTTTTTTTAATTAATGTAAGTTTCTATCGCTTGTCACTTGACAGACCACAGGAGGCTGTGAATTGGCTGAAGAAACAAAATAGGCTGAGGGATTTCAGGGATGCAATCGGTATGAGATAACATAAATTATCCAGGCAACTAGATTCAGTTGCCTCCTCTCCCAAGTGGTTTAAAGGCCTGGTTGTTTGATTCTGACATATCTTTGTATTGTACGAGTTAGAGCTCTTTAGCATTTAATTAGTCAAAAAGCAAGTAAAAATATAGTAATGTGGGTTCACCAACAGACCTAACAGTCGCCTGCCAGTCTCTCCATCTATCATGTCCGTATCTGCCCCTATGTTACATCAGTCTCGTCAATACCAAACTCTCATACCGATTACCTTTGTGGAACTGGACCTAACTCTCATTTCTCAAAGAATAAGGGAACCACTTCCTTGAAATCGTTCAAATTAAGCCATTAAACATGTCATCTCACCAAATGTAAACTTTGGTTATAAAAAGAATTTCGAACTCGACTTACGTTATGAATGATCAATTATGAAATAAAGAATAATTATATTCTGAGTGCAACATCTGCAAAAAGATTCATATATATAAATTATTAAAACAATACCAACAAGAATAACAAAGGAAGGCATACAAGGAGTTAAAAAAATAAATAAATTGAAATCGGTAATTTTTATTTACTCACCCTAATATTTAATATGAATTTAAAAAATTATTTATATGAATATTTTCATTAAAAACGAAAAAAGAGGTACAAAAACAATGATAGAACTGAACAAAAATACTATTTCTTTCCACCTTTTTTCCCACCACGTGGTTTTGAAGGTCCCGCTTTTTGTTTCTTTTCCTTTATCTGTGATGTGTCTTTGTTTTTCTTTTTAATCTGAAATTGAAATCAATGATTTTCCGAATCTAGGGAGAATTTTTTTGTAGAATACTTACCAAAATCATGTCATCATCATTGACATCTTCACTATCTATGTCCATTTCTTCCTCTTCGCCTTCCATTATATCATCATCATTGGAGACTTTCATTTTCTTCACGTTTATCACAGAACAAGGAGTTAACACTGGGCATTTATTATAAGCCCTTGTAAATGCGGCTTTTACCTGCAAAAAAAAATGAATTTAAAATAAAATGCTTCGATTTGAGAAAAAAGAGCTTCTACCTTTGATTCAAGATCAGCAAATTTATTCTTCCCACCCGTCCAGGTTGTCAACTCGATAAGAGAATCTAAGTCCTCTCTGACAAGCATGTACTGTCGCATTACATCCAATGATTTTTCTATACCTCCACTTCCTTCAGTTACGAGCGGTGCGACGACAGCTTCTTTCAGAGCGTAACTGTAGTCTGATATTATCGAATCTTTGGCGCCTGAAGTCTTCAGTCTAGTGTGCACTTGGATTTCTTGATACATACGGTCAAACTTTCCCCTTTTTGAATTCTTTCCAAGCCAAGATGGAAAATTAATCTGCCCACCCATGTGCCCTGATAAAGTCGCACCGGGAATCACCGAACTGAAAATGGCCTGAGAGAAAAATTAAAATTAATAGGTTTATTACATTTAGTCATATCTAATTAGATTATTAGATTACTTGAATGGGAAGGAGACTCCAGGCATTGTGTGTTCTTATGCCATTATCTATAAGATCTCCGTAGCACAAACTAGTTGCTGTTTTTGCAAACATTTTCATCTTTGCAATTTTAGAATTTCTGTAGACAGAAACATGTAAGAAAACAGATTTTAAAAACTGTATTTATAAAAATGTTTACGCTTCTTTTGAGTGAGGTGTAACTTGAAGGTAATTCTCTTGAACAAAGAGTGGTGCGATGCTGTAGTCATTGAAGAATAAGTCACACTTATCGTGAATTGACATATTTTTGTTCTCTTCTTCAGAGAAGACTTTTCGGACGACATCCCACGCTCCGAGTTTGAGGTCTTTCGCAGAAACATTCATGCTAGCATCGTTTCTTGCGGCGAGTAAGGATAAATTGTTGAGCACGAGTCTAATATCCTGATTTGTACTCATTATAATGTCGGTTAAAATATTTGGCTTTATTTTAAGACCTTCTTTGAAGCATATACTAAGCATTGCACCCTAATAAGTTCACAGTTATAAATTTACAAAGTCAAATCATTTTTATTTAAGCGTTGGTAGATTGTAATACCTTAATCTGTTCCATTCTAGGCCTGTTCACCCTTAAATCGAAACAATAATTCGATAGTGATCTTATTTTAGGGTGGTTTCTGTCATTGCACATGCATATTATAGGAACTTTGGAACATTTAATCAAAGAAATCAGCTCTTGCACGCCTCCTCGGTCCTCATTGCCAGCCATTCCATCGACTTCGTCCATGATTAGCACATGTGTCTTACTTGTGGAACTACCTCCTAACATTCACATTATAAAAAATAAATTACAGATGGGAAAAAAAAATAAAATAAATTAATACCGTGAGCGTAATGTGAAAGCGATTTGCTGGTTAATAGTTCAGTGATCTCGTCGTGAAGCATCTTCTTGCTCCTAGTACATGAAGCATTGTACTCAACTAGATCCATGTTTAGCTCTTTGCAAACTAAATGAGCTGTTGTTGTTTTGCCTGTTAAGACAAAACCTGCGTTAATCGGTTTTGCCAAGCGTTCAAGGCAATTAACACATTCATTATGGCCATTGTTCTGGAATCATACACTAATCCTTCCCATATATGGACGTCATTCAAGAACAACGCACCTAGAAAACCCCTCTTTCGAAGCTTGTTGTGAAGATCGTTTTCGATTTGACCTTTTGGAATTTTTTTACAATTAAAAAAAAAATAATCAAAATTTTTACCATACCTCGGGAGAGCTTTACAAATCAGTGGCCATAACGAATGTGTTAACAGATAATAACCACTAAGTATTTTATTTTATTTGATTTTTTGTGTGAAATATAATAGTTCAAATCATCTTTATTGAATTATGTTTAAGCTTTTATTTTTAAAAATCATCTCCAGTTACAATTTTGTCTCGTCATCCTATTTTCTAAGCTGTTTAGCTTCTGTATACAGAGCCTCAGTCTTTAAAACTTAGACAACAAATTATAGTCACAATTCTTCAAATATTCTGCTTCATTATTTCATTGTCAATTTGCTTTTGAACAAACCAAAGAAAAAGTGTTTTAAAATTACATTAATTAAACAAAAGAATTAGAATATTGTAGCATCAGAACAAAAATTAAATGTAAGAAAATTATTTAAAAAAAGAAATCACTTAGAAAGAAAGCAAATTATCAACGTATTTCCATATAAAATAAAAATTGTGATAATTACCAATTCCAGGAGGGCCAGATAGTAGAGCTGCTTTGTAAAATGCGCCGTCGTAGTCCTTAAGCCAAGGACCTTTAAAGAAACAAAATATAATTTGAATTTATAAATATATAAATTCAAATGAATAAAGATTTACTTGGTCTCAGAGGTTTTACATTTCCAAATTGGTTACGATGCCAGTTTTTAAGCCAGTGGACAAGTTTGTTTGCAACGCTTTTATTCCCTTGTTGTCCAATAAGTGCTTTCAAATTGGTTGGCTTGTATTTGTCAACCCAGAGGTCTAACACTGGTGGTTTGGCCTGGTCTGGTACAAATTGTTTGAAAGATTTTACTTCTGAATTTTTCACCTCTTTTGTTTTATTATCCTGAAGAACAATTTTGTCATTTTTTTTATATACAGATTGTAATTACATGAGTAAATATACATTTTTATCGTTGGTCTTATTTTTATCATAAACCCTACTCCCATCAGATCCCTTCTTGACTTTTACATTCTCATTTTCTTCTTCGACTGATTTAATATTTCGTTTTGTAGGTGTTTTGTCTGGCGTTTGTGCTCCATTTGAATTTGTTTTGTTAGGCGTTTTAACAGTAGTTTTTGACTTTGGAAATTTTTTTTTTGGAGAAATTTTAACAGGAGAAGAGCGTGTCGAGATCTTTTCAGGCAATGTAGGTTGTTTTGGTTTCTCATTAATTTCAACATCAGAAATCTAAAAATCTATACAATTAATATACAAAATTAAGCAGTTATTTAAACAAACTAACATCTTTGCTGGGAGTATTTTTATTCTCAACACTTAAGACTTCATCTAATGCATCATCACTGAGTCCTTCGAGTGTTTCCCAGAGCTCCTCTTTTTTTCCATTAGATGAACTCTTTTCCTTCACATCTGGTTTAGTTTGCTTGATAGGCTGCGAGCCGAAAAAATTACGGGAGATGTCTTTACTGTTCTCAAAATATTTTGATTTCTTTCCATCTTTATTTTTCTTGTTTGACTTAGGAGACTCTGTAATTAAAAAGTTAATTTTTTCAACAAAAAATTTTTTTGTTTAAATCCTACCTTTTTGTTTGCTTTTCTTAGGTGTTTTGAAATTATCATCTTCATTGTCCGAATCAGATTCAATTAAAGCTCTTTTACGGCTATTTGTTGTTTTCTTCTTGTTGCCCAATTGTGAAGTTTTGGCCGCTTGATTTTTCTGTGCTGGAGACGTCAGAAACTTCCTGATATCCTGCCATAAAAATAAACCTATTCAAAAACTTATTGTATTACAGTTGAACTTTCTCAAACAGATATTTTTAATAACCTGACAATTTTATTTCCCCAGGTATTTTTACATCTACTTTACAAAGAAATGTACTCCTAATAAGCGGGCGCGGACACTACGATTTTATAGATTTTTCACCCCATTGTAAGTTGTGACAAACTTATTCGTTGGATGAATGCAAGAAAAAAATTCTTTTAAAAAAAGAGAAAATCAGTGTTAGTGTAAACATGTACATTCGTTCAAATTCATTTTTCACAATGTAATTTTTCCATATGTAAACCTTTCTAATAAGCATGAAAAAAAAGCATTCCCAAGAGGTGTCTGCTTATGGGAAGTTCAACTGTAAATGCAATACACATTAAAAATTAACAGTACGAATCCATAAATAACTGAATTAGTCAACACATAAAAAAATAACTATTAAAATGGTAATTAATAACTTTTAAGTCCTAGTTAGTAATAACAGGTCCTTTAGTGAACTATTTCGCCTACCATTGCATCTAGGACTTATTCTTAAACCATATAATGGATATGTTTTTGGCAATTTGGTTTGCTGCAAAATGGTTAAGGTGTCTTCATCAAACTTTTTTTGGCCATTTTATCGGCTCTCAGCCCTGGTACCCAAAGAACAGTAATTTTGTTGTTATCCCTAATGTCTGACAGGGCTTTCATGCAATCACAAACGGCTTTGGACTTTATTAATTTTTTTAAATTATTATTTATTGTTATTGAAATTGGCATTGGTCTTAAACACAAAATAAATAAACAAAAGATATAATAAGCAAAAGCACAATAACAAAAATGATAAATTTTCTAAATATACATAATATAATATTGCTCAAGATAACAGGTTTTTCATTTTAATTCGCTTTTCTAATGTAGATAAGCCAAAATAGTAAATATTATTTATATGTTTCTGGTTGTTTTTTACCTATAGGTGAAATTAAATCTAAAGTGTTTTTAAATATTTATTATGATCGGAAGTGTGGTACTTACATTCAAAAAGGAAGTGGCCTGTAGTATCTAATTTTAGGTTTAAACAAATTGACAATAGTGCTTGAGCAGAATATATATTTTAAGCCTTTTATTGCAAACGATGAATTTTGTATACTAAACATCCTGAGATGACAGAAGATATGCATTTTATGAATACAATTATTATGAAGGTCCTGGCAAAATCTGGTAATTTGCCTGAAAATAGGGTGAATGTACTACGAGAAGGACGAGAGATGAACCCCCAAAAAATAATCAAGATTTAGAAACGGTAATGCCACATTCTAAAAGCCAAATTTTTGAGTCTCCTTATTCGTCCAGATTTTGGAAATCACACAACTTTAGTTTTAACTATATTTTCCTGGAAACCATTCACTATGATGCGCCATGCCAGGAATAAGAAATGATAGCAACATCATCTTCATAAAATAACATTAATAAGTTTATAATAGTATTAATGATAATTCATATAGAACCTTTGCTTTAAAAAAAAATTATATATATTTATATATATTCGATAAAGAGACAGAAAAGAAAAGGTCTAAACTTTACTACCGAGAAGGTGGTGACCTTTATTGCTGCCTGAGTAGATTTATATTCTTTTTTGATAATTCCCAGACTTTTTATTTTCTTGGCTGTTCAAAATCCAATCTCCCTAAAAGACAGAAGAATATTACCCAAGGCTCATGAAAATTCCAGTTCTTGGTTTATTTCAATACATACTGTCGGAATTAACTGGGATCCCTTTCTGTCTGCTCTATCAAGTACTTTAATTCAAATTTTTTAAAATCAAATCTTAACGAAAACCATGTCTACCAAGTCAATCAAAATATCTTTATTCAGTGACAATCCATACATATACAAATACATATACTGTGTGAACACAGTCAAAAATAACTACATATACCGCGAATTAATAAAAGTGAGGATAGCGAGAGCCTACTGTAGTAGTACTGAGTAGATAGACCAAGTAGAATGATCCACTAATCAATTTAATATGTCTTCATCAACTCACGGATGACTAACCACCACCAACTTTGGATGAAACTTCCATGCACAATTTATCTTGCATACGGCAACCGTGGATAACGAGAGGCTACCACTGTAGTATTGAGTAGACCTATTGGAATGACCAAGTAATCAATTTAACATGTGTTCACAGACTCGCAGACCAATAACCACCATCAACTTTGCATCCAAGTTGTCAGGTAAAGATACAAAGATATTCAGATTTTATGCATTTTGATATGATAATGTCCACAACCAGGTCCTTTATATTCAAAACTTTCATGAGTGTTAAGATGGGCCATGCAGAACTCATAAATAGCCCAAATTGCACTTCTGGAAACAATGGTACACTCTATTATTAAGTATTTAATTAAACATATTTAATGATTGATAGAGTTGAATGATAAATCAATTGTTGTTTGCAACTGTAGATGTTGAAGCTGTAGTTTGATCAATTTATCAATTATAATGCTTTTTTTATAATTAAGCGCATAATGATGTATTGTTTATAATGATTAAGCTAAATAAAATAATTTTTAATTTTGAAAACAATCTAAGCTCACCATTGACATAGTCTGCTTTTATTCCCGCTTGCAAGCACAGGAAAAGCAGCCCTAAACGAAATCCGGGGAATAACAAAACCTCACTATTGAAACAGTGTTGGAGGGAAAGAATAACCTCGGTAAAGTTAAAATTTTGTTTAATTTAATTTAAAAAATAATGAAACAGGTCTATTTTCAATTTTACCCGGTTTGCTTTTCTACGTTTAAAAGTGGTCTAAATTTAATCTTGAACAGATTAAATGCTGAACCGGGCAATTTGAGCTTAAGCCGTCGACAAGGGTGAATCTTGTCTCCTTTGAAACACGCGTTAACCAGCGGGGAGGTTACACTTTCAAAACGCCTCCGATTTCGTCCGGCGTTTCTCGTCCTCTTCATCCAAGAATGTCAAATCAACAGGTATCGGACTTTATCGGTCCCTAACTGTATAAATTATTTAATATTTCTTTAACTTACACTGATGGACAAATTTAACACACCGTAGAATTTATTTAGTTTAAAATTAAATCCATTATCTTTCTACACTAGTTACAGGTAATTAGGAGCTATTGTAGTCAAAGTAACCAGTAAATAATGCTTTGTTTACTTTTGCAATAATTAACACCATTTGCTCGAAAAGTAGCATTATGCCCTTCCATTCTGTTGTCCCTAAATATCGCTTCTTTTTTCCTTCGTTGATTTCAGTCAGGCATTTGAGATATGACAGGGTCAGGGTCATGACATTACTAGAAGAAGGATACAGTCTGTACGAAGACAGGAGACTGAAAATAAATCACTATATGAAGGGTTCTTCAACGATTCAGCTGTGTTCCCATTACGCTCGTGAACCACTAGCACTCTGATCTGGTAACCACTTCAAGTGGAGATGAGGCTGCAAACTGCAAGAAATCGTCTGAGATAGTGGCTAGTGCAGAATATATATATTCATCACCATTTGACTGAAGATTGTAGAAGGCCCCATCATTTTTGGTCCTTATTTTCTTTATTTTTATGATCGCCCAATAATGGGCATTTTTAGTACAATTCGATAAGAACAAGACTTTCTCCTCCCTTTAAGTACACCAAGAAACAGACAGCCAATTGGAACATGGAATGCTCTTGTATAATCGCGAGTGCAGAAACATACACACTAAAGACGAGCCTAGTTCGCAAACATAGTGGTTATGCAGCTTCAAAGAAACAGGGTTTACACTAGAAGACCAGGACAGGATCGATCAGGTCTACGGGCTACCTAAGAAGGCACGAGCACCGGATAGGAGTATCGACTGCAAATACTGCCAGGAAGAGGAGACGACAGAACACATTGTAAGCTTGTGTGTAGGTCTATGCAGATGCAGGTTTTTGCAAATAGGAGAGGAAAAGGTGCAAGCAAGATTTTACACTAAGGAGCTGCTGGTAAGGCTTTTGAGGTTGATCAATAACCTGAAGCTGGCCAGTGAATTGTAAAAACAAGAGAAGCACAATAGACCTCAGGTCGAGTGCGGAAGGCCTTGGGGCTGCCTTTTTCATCCCTACATCTACAGATGAGAGAGATGTTAGATTCAACCGTCATCAGGCTCTACGAAACCACAGCATTACAGGAAATGAGATAAAAAATCAAATAAGACAAGATTGAAATGTTTTGATTTCCTCCAGAACGGTAAGAAATGCATTAAGAAGAAATACTCAATGAAATTAACCTCAGGGCCCTCACCTGGTTCGTGGACCTCTTATCACACTCAGAAAATGGCCAGGCTTCAATTCGCATGGTAACGTGTGAATTGGATATTGCAAGATTTGGGACAGGTTCTCTTTACAGATGAGGTGTGAGCAAACCAAATCTTGTAATGGGTGTTACATGGACACTCAGGATAAAGGTACAGCACAGCATTACGGGAAATGAGATAAGAAATCTAATAGGGCAAGTCTAAATGTTTCAATTTTCCCCTGAACTGTAAGAAGAAATGCTCAATGGAATTAACCTCAGGGCCCGGCACCCATCTTGGGGACCTCTTCTTACAACTGTTCAGAAAATGGCCTGGCTTCAACTCACTTGGGAACATGTGAATTGGACATTGTAAGATTGGGGCTGAGTTCTTGTTACAGATGGTGAGAGTTGGCTTCAAATATTCATATGGGTGTAATTTCTTATGGAGACCCTCAGGAGAAAGGTACATCCTATGTTGTACGGTTCCTCAGATGGCATTCCACAGAGGTTTAGGGTTGGCATTTCCTTGGACATCCACACTGAATTGGTTGTTTTGCGAAGAAAATTTACAGGTGTATTTACAAAACAATTGAAGAACATGTAGTGCCATCCCCATCAGTGAGAGATTGTTGCTAATGCAGGATAATGCTAGGGAACATGTGAACTTCAACCAGTTGCCTTGTTGAGTTCACTGAATTGCAAGAGAGAGGTGACATGTTTAGTAACATCCATGGCAGTAGTTTAGTAGTGCTGACTGTTTATCACTTACAAGCATTTCTACTCCTGATTACAGTTTTCCCTACCCCCAACAGCCAATACATATGTATTATAACGATTAACCTGACAACTCTTGTATCCTTGCAAAGGATCATTTTGATGTTTAGAGATTGTTCTACATATGTTTTACACCTGCCTGGGCTGATTTTGACTATGTGTATTTGTCCTAAACATCAGCAGGTTCTTACTGATCTACTTTTTGACTTTAAAACCATTTATAAAATGTTTGAAGCATTTTAAGCCCATTCATTATCAAGAATATTTATGTTTTATGTAAAATATTCTAAGTAATTCTCTTTTGTATTGTAAGCCTCACTGGTTTGAAGGCAAGATCGTTTTGTACCGTGCATAAATCAGTGTATTGATCATTTATTCTGGCCCATTTATTTTCAAGTATGCATCAATCATACAAAATTTTGAGAAAGACAGTTTTAAACCGTCGAGTCATAATATTATATAAATTTTTAAAGATTCTTCTTATATTTAAAGAATCAAGGTCAGGGTGACCAGAAGGACAGGAGGAGGAAGGAGAGCATCTTAGACCTGTCGAAATATCTGGACAAGCAGATTAGGGTCAAGTTCTCTGGCGGAAGGGAGGCAGCTGGCATTCTTAAGGGCTACGATCCACTCCTCAACCTTGTACTGGACAACACAACAGAATATTTGAGAGGTAAATGATGATTTTACATATAGATAGAATAGTCTAGTATTTATTCCGAGAATCCAAAATAAAATATAATTTATATTATATTATTAATAATTTAATAATTTCAATTTGAATTCTACAATAATACAACAATAATTTGTGTTTTTTCAGATCCTGATGATGCGTACAAACTCACTGAGGATACAAGGATGCTTGGTCTTGTTGTGTGCAGGGGGACTTCGGTAGTCCTGATCTGCCCCGTTGATGGGATGGAAAGCATTCCAAATCCCTTTATCTCACAGGAGTCGTGATAAAATTATTGTGCTAGTCAGAGCCATTATTTTATAATGACACAATTTTTTTCCTTAAGACTTTTGTACAGAGCTTTTTAATTTTAAACTTATTATAATAAATAATTACTTTCATGTTTTACACAATTTTTGTCTTTAAATTTCATTTTTCATAATAAAAACCTACTAAAACATCTATAATAAAAAGGTATAAAACTATAAAGGAGTCTGGCTTTTGGGAAATAGAGAAACATAAGCAAATCATCATGACAGGTCAGGTGAAGGGCAATAGAACTGCAACTTTTATACTATGATACTGCGGAAATATCACATTTTCGGCCTAACAGGTAAATTGCATGGTTTCTCCAGGCTTTCCTGGAGTACCGTAGGTACTGAGTCAAGCCGGGAACTGTGCTCTCCAGAGATCACATTCAGGAGAATGGCATCCCTCAGGTTCAATTATGGTAATGAACAATATCTCTGATGGCGTTCCCCGCAGATGAGGAGGAAGCTCTTTCAATCTACCATTCAGATAAACGATATGGCAGAGGTCGGCGATTGTGGCTGTGAGAGTCAAGGAAACCAGGTTTACCAAATCAAAAACGGTTTGTGTCCACTTTTGCTGATTGAGAAGGCACCCTAGTCTCCACAACTACATCTTAGGAGTATGTAGAGAGGGTGTAGTTCCTTGGCCTCATATTTGATGAGAAATTGAGATGGAAGCCACTCCAATCGGTCAGAAGCAGGAAAATCCTTGCATTGTTGAGATTTGTTGGTCGTGTTAGGTGATAGAGACCCTATTCAAAATGTTGGAGTTGCTGCATTGTTGAGGGTTTCTATGGATGTATGGTCTATTGCTGACCCAAAAAATGCTCTTGAGAACACTTGATAGGCTCTGTTATCAGGGTCTTAGAGAGATCTCGGGAGCATTCAGGACCAGCCGGGCCATCAGTCTGTGCTGCAACCTAGGGGGGGGGGGGTCTTGCTTCCCAAACTCTAGAGAGAGCAACTTACCCTTAGTTGCGCAGCCGGGTTCTTGGCCAAGGTGGGGCATCTCCTCTAGGACCATTGTTGAATGCTCATACAAAGTTGTCTACAACATGCTTCGCTCACAGACATGACCCCTTGGGATTCACTTTGGTGAGGCGTTAGGGAGGGTTGGACTGGCGTTTGTGATGGAGCTTTAGCTGGGCAACCGACAGACACCTACCTATCTCACAACTATTGAGTAAGGTTAACGGTCAATTATTAAGCGTTAGTGATAAAAAGATTAAAACCCCTTCGGGGAAAAAGCACTTTCAGGTAGTCACCCTTTGTGATTATAATTGTAGTCTGGATGCTGACCATCGTAACATAGACTGCTACACAGATGGATCACTTATCAAAGGAAGAGGGAGTGGTACAGGAATCTACATACCAAAATTAGGAATCAGCATCTCCTCCCCTCTTGGCAATAACACCTCCATTTTTCAGGCGGAAATCTGGGCCATCAATTGTGTGTTGTAGAACACTTATGGAAAATAAAATTAAGGGAAAAGATATTAAAATCTTTTCTGACACTCAGGCTAATCTTAGGGCATTACAAAAAGATTTGTCAACCTCACGACTGGTGGAGGAAACTATAGATCTTATCAATAGGATCTCTTTCAGGTTTGAGAATAAGGTGACCCTTATTTGGATACCAGCACATAAAGGACACCATGGCAATGAAAAGGCGGATGGCCTATCCAAAGAAGGTTCTAATACTGCGTTTGTCCAGAAGTATTATTTCACTCTATGAGCACAGCAAAAAAGAGTATCAATAACTGGGACATGAAACAATTCCTTAGGGAGTGGACTTTATCCCTCGGACACAGGCAATCGAAAGAGTTTGTCAGGGCGATCAAACCAGCAGAATCGAAATGGCTATTCTCTATCTCAAGGAGAGGAATTAGGAGGCTGATAGGTATTCTGACGGGCCACTGCCCACTGAGAAGATACCTCTTCGTAATGGGTATCCTACCAGATCCCTTTTGCCGCTTCTGCGAAATAAAAGAAGAAACAGCAAGGCACTACCTCGCAGAGTGTGGTAGGTATGCGAGGTCTAGATTTGAAATCTTTGAAGGAGAGGACATCAAATCACTCCCCGAGATAAAATGGTCCAAAATCTTGGGGTTTGTGAACAAGTCCAAGAGGTTTATGCAGGACAGGTGAGCTGACCAAGTCCCGGACCTTTTAGGGATGGGGTACCAGTCTACCCAGGCATTTAACCCCTTGGGTCTTGGTCGCCCACCCTACATAATATATACACCTACCTGCACCCTTTCTGGCCAAAGCCCACGCCGATGTCCCTTATGCAGAGAAAGTTGGTCTTAGATAGAAATAAAAGCTTGTCAGGCATTGGCTCCTTACAAAGAGCGTCTAGGTATGCTACCAAAATTCAAGAATGGATCTTGGCCAAGGTAGCGAGTTTTTGGTTCCCTTGTTTCGCTTTTTGTTGGATGTCGGGGTTTTCTTCTGTGTGTAGTTATGTTCTTTGATTGAGTAAATGTATTTATTAGTGCGAGTGGGGAGGGGTATGGTGAAATATAGGATCACCCTCTCAGAGTCTCTGTTTAGGGTAGATGGTGGAATATTTATGAAAATATGACTCTAATTTAGATTAGATTATTAATTTAAACCGTGTGGAGCAGAAATATTGAGTACTCCACTGACTAATCAGAATGAGTGCAATGCATATTTATTTGTGCGACTGACTTATCAAATTTAATTAGTATTAGGCTAGATTATAGTTAGCATAGTTTGGGGCTGAAATGACCTAGTTGTGACGACCATCCCTAACCATCTCTTGGGCATCTTTCTTAAGGGGAATACTAGGGTCCCAGCCACGCAATGGGATAGGTGAATGTATAGACCGGTCAGCAAATTGGGGAGTGACAACCCTTCAGGGCGAAAGTAACTACAATTACTTCTTTTTTTTCCCCAATGCATTTTGGCCATGACACTCTTTGAGGCTCCTAGGAGCAAGAATCACATCCCAAACTAAAAAAATAAAAGAAGCGAAACCGAAAAGAAAGATGTTTGTTTTAGTACTTAAAATCTTTTATCAGCGTACTTTCATTACTTAAGATACATAAATTAAGATTTTTTCGAATAAAAAATGTGACTTTAGAGTATAAGCAATATTAATTAAAGTTAATAATTATATAAATTATCATCTGTCAATAGATCAAGCTATTTTCTTACAAAGCATGTTTTGAATTAGTTTTACACTCAAGAGATGGTTGTTCTTCCAAAACTTCATTCATGCAGCCTTATTGATTTTGATTTGAACAATCCAAGCCACAGTTTTATTTTATATAAGTAAGTATTGATTAAATAACTTTTCCCAAATTCATAAACATTGATTTTAGGTGGTGCCTCTCACTGTCAAGAAGACTACCTATCTTTGAAAGAAGTGCTTACCGCAAAGCACTCACTTGGAAGTTGGGCAGAGCCTGGGCACAGCTTGCGCTTGCGATCGGCCCTGAGGATGCAAAGTTGATTCTTTCTGAATGCGAAAAGCTGGGCAACATTCCACCCGGGAACTGGGCTTCTTACATTGATAATGTTAACTCGGTCAGGCAGGGTCGGCAGGTCCAAATGGAATCTGTCGATACGTCGTTCATTACCACCTTCCTGACTATATTAGGTGTAATAATTATTTGCCTAGCCATTTATTCACTTCTCTGGCGAATGAAGCCACTGAAGAACACAGAAATGAATTAAATTAAAAAAGTTTTACAGTTTTATTTATTTTTTGTTGAATATATGGATCAGTGGTTCTTGTAATTAAGTTTTAAGAAAACCTTGTAACTTAGTATTTCAATAATTTTAAAGCTTAATAAAAGTATTATAACAGAAAATCATACACACCCTTATTGAGAAAAATGAAATATCAATAAAATTGACTAATTTCTACGATGATAAATATAAAACAGCTATAATAACAAGAGCTTAAAGGAAAAGACTATGTACAAATATATACAAACAGTAACGGGTAATTGGACTCTTGGTGTCTTGCAGTGCTTCTGCGCATTGTAAAACTTCAACACCCAACATTGAATGCAAAGCCCAATTAAATGACAGCAATTAGTCTTCTTTTGCACCATGTATATTTTCATTAATTAATTATGTATTATGCATTTATAGTGTTTTTTTAGGCCTGCTAAGTCACATTTTCTCCACCTCACGTTTTTTGTTTAACAATATCTCACTCTCACTCTGGCAATCTTATGTTTTTGTGGTAACTTCTGGGGCTCTATTATCATTCTTAATTGGTCCTTCCACTTGTGGTGAAAAGCTCTACAACTCATGTACACATGTACGTACATACATATATTTTGGGCTAGCCTAAGTTTGGCAGGTCTCAGTGTATTGGATATTCCACTGACGACTCATCATCATTCGGTCTAACAAATACAGTCACCTTACTAGAAACTTTCAAGCTGTAAATTAAAATTTTGGTAGACACATGTCATACCAGGTGTAAAGTTTTACTCCAGTATTTCATCCACAATAACTATAAAACTATATTAAGCTAACCTAGGTTGGTGGGTCTGTGAAGTACTGTATATTCTGTCACCCACCATACATAAACATTCACTCTACAACATACATTCAGCACGGATAAAATTTGGGGAGTCACTGTGGTATTTGATATTGTGCCAGTGCCTCCCCATTTCACTCTTAATACAATTACCCTAAAAAACTAGCCTCATTGCTGAGTCTGTGGGGTACTCTATATTACACATCCACAAACTCAACCACTCACTCTAATAAATACTTTCATTTTAAAAGGGAAAACAATATGTGGAAAGTCATAAATGCGACCATATACATTTATATGCTTCAAGTATCCAATCAATTTTTTACTGTCCATCACTCCAGTGTCTTAAAATGCCATTGAGCTTCATGAACATAGCCACACCTTGTTCTGTGCAATGACAATTGTTCATACTCTACTAAGTGTTTTACTGTATTTATTTAACCAAAAATTCCGAATACATCTGGGTACCAAAAAGGAATGGGAAAGAAACGGAAATAACTCCTTTAAAAATGGCACCATCCTCTGGTACACAGATCTAGAACACAAGAAGGTACGGGGCCAGGAGTATTTGGACCCGGAACGAAATACTCAGAACCCATGGGAAAGTACACCAGTATCTTCCAAGCTGAGATTCACGCAATTGAAAGATGTATCCAATTCAATCTAAGTAAAGGATACAAAAACAAGAATCATGTCAGATAGTCAAGCAGCCATCAAAGCACTAAGCTCAAGCATCATTAGTTCAAGGATGGTGCTGAACTGAAAAAACAAATTAAACACACTAGGTATGCAGAATAAGTCAGCCTCTGCTGGGTCCCAGGACACATGGGAGTAGAAGTCAATGAGAAAGCGGACACCCTTGTAAAGAAAGGGGCTGCTACACCGCTGACAGGACCTGACCGCTTCTGTGGCATAGGAATCCACACTATTAACGAATATCTCAGACAGAAGGAAAAAGAAAATGAAGGAACAATGGAATTCACTCATTGGACATAGATAATCCAAGAATCTTCTAACCAATTTTGGCAAGAAAGAAATCTCAGAATGTGTCAAAGGAAGCAGGAACAGACTGCGAATCCTAACAGGACACTGTAGATTAAATGGACACCTAAAGAAAATTGGAACAATCCAAGATGGCACATGTAGATTCTGCAAGGAGGCAGAAGAGGCACCATTTACTAACAAACTGCGGAGGTACATTAGCCCGCAGGAGGATATGTTTTGGGATGTATAATGTGACCATAGAAGAGCTTCAGCCACTAAAACCGGGCCTATTAATCAAGTTTCTTGATGAAATAGGACTCACCGATGTGCTTTAGGAAGAGAACGGGGGATACAATAGCTCTTAAAGGGCGCAGTATACCATACCCTGGAAAATTACATCTACAAGTGTTTTACTGTTATTTTGGTGCCACATAAGAGGCACATTTATTAGGAGATTAGATGCCCATGTATTAGCCTGGTATGGCATATTTTAATAAATACATTATCTAGAGGAAAATTGAGGAATTATAGTTAATAGAACTGTATCCCTTATATAACTATGACACCTATAGTCACTGTACATTGACAATAGCGGTAAAAAAAATTATCTGTGCCATATTCTGATTTAGAGCATATGAAAAATTCTACTGATCCAGAAACCAAGACATTAAAACATACGCACAACTGCTTTCGCATTTTTATTCTAATTCTGATTCTTGGGTAATACTTGATATAGGCTCCTATGAATTAATCAGTTTTGTAAGAAATCTTATATATAAAAGAAGATGCTTGATTTAGAAATGCCTCTTTCAATAGCAATAATGTTGAAAATTACTTTTTTAATATTACTTTATTTCTTTTGCACCAAATGCTCTGGATTTGAATCCAACTGTAATTGTGGTTGGAGAAATTTTGTAAGTTTCATTAAATGTACTTTTTAACCGTTAACTTAACAATATTACTATTTTTGAAAGGGGAAAATCATAGGAGGTGAAAAATCAGATGATGGCGAATGGCCAATGATGGCTGCACTTATGTCAAAACCAGAAAACGTGCAGTTTTGTGGTGGCACTATCATCTCAAATCATCATGTATTGACTGCAGGGCACTGCGTCCATGCCCGTTACAAGAAACTTCCTGTAAGTTCTTTCGGTGTCGTTTTTGGAATTAACAACCTCGATGAAGGTATTTTATAATTTTTATATTTATAATGTAAGCCCATTAGAAACGTGAATATGTAATGTTTTTCAAGTAAAACCAAGCAATATAATATCCCCAAAGAAAATAATAGCACACCCAAATTATGTTTGGCCTCTTTCTTACGACGTTGCAATTTTGGTCATGAAGTCGATAGAATTTTCACACAATATCGGCCCTGCTTGCCTCCCTCTCAAAAAGTTCAACGCCGTTGGAAAAACTCTTCACCACACAGGTTGACAAACTTAATATAAATTCATTTGCACATATCTCAAATATATTTTGATATAGGCTGGGGCATGGTGAAAGCCTATGGCATGGGTTCACGAATCCTAAAAAAGACAAAACTTGAAGGGGTAGATCTGGACCTCTGCAACAGCACGTTTGCCCAGTATGAACATTTGGTCAAAATAAGGGAACATCACCTATGCACCTACCAGCCAGCTACAAGTCAGTGTAAGGTAGGTGATAATTTATTAAAATAAGTACCTGATGAAAAAAAAAACTGTACATCCAACCAATCCATTTTCTTTTCCCCTTTAATATCTTTAATTTGGAAAATTGTGCTATATTTAGTATAAAATATAAATATTCTCTTATTTAATGATCAATAGACTGTTCATTTATTTAATTTTCTTGTTAAAAATGGACAACCCAACAGAAAATTTGTGAATCATTTTAATTATTTAACATTTTCCATTAAAGATATAGTATGTTTGAAGCCCATTTCCACTTCAAGTTAAAATCTTAAGTTAAAACGTTTGTATTAGTTTGATGGGAGTGATCCAGGTGTGTTCAAATATAGAAAAGTTCATTTATTATTTATTCTACCAACAGGGCCGAAAACATGCTGATTTTTTTGTGTGTGTTATTTCCAGGGTGATTCAGGAGGGCCAATTCTGTGGGATGATCCCAAAACAAAAAGATACTATCTTGTTGGATTAATATCTTTTGGGTGGTATTCTTGTGATACACCTTCTGTTAATGTTGACGTCAGCTATTTTGTCCCTTGGATTTACCAAATTCTAAGCAGTAAGTTACATAATTTAAAGTTTGATTATTCTTTTCCAACCATTTAATTCCATTACCATTTTAGCAACTGGGGACGATGTCTGTGCTTTTCAGGAACTTTGATAGTTTTGGATTGTATTAATGTAAAATTTATGACAATAAATGCCAAAATTAACAAAATAAGTAGTCCTTGACACCTTTAATCTTATAAAAGAAAAAAAAATTTGTGTAACATTTTACATTTATTTCCAATAACAATACATTAACAGACTTTTCCTTCCAATAAAAGATTGAGCCAGCCGAGAAGGATTTTCCTGTATTTCGTGTTCCAGTTTAGGTTGTGTTGTATCTGGTCCAGAGAACAGATAGCACTGGTAATTTGCTTCCCCTTCAAGAACTCTTTCATCTAAAACAGATTTCAATGAAAATTTCATAATGTGGTAATATGACAGCATTACATCATCCAATTGTTCTTCAGTGTTGAAAAACTGTGCTATGTGTGGAAGAACTAGCCCTAAACATGTCTCACTGAGGTAGTACTTATCCAGAAGAGCATCCCAGTTAGACCTGGAAAAAATGACAATTATAATATTGAACTGCAAAGTCTGTCTTTGTGGTAGCTAGAGATTGGTAGGTGGTTCTTTATTATTGAGGCTGGTGTCTAGACGGTGTCCTGTGTTCCTTGGACAATTTTAGCCTTCAGCTATAGGAGATCTGGACGTTTTTCATGTATGACTTTTGTAAATGTTTTTTTATTTGCATCTGCATATGATACCTGAATTTAAAAAAAATTTTAAAAAAAGGAGTTCGATGCCTTCTTCATGGTTTGGTTGGTGAGTCATCTTTGCCTACGATGGTGGGCTCCTTGGCCGTTTTCACTACTAATGCTCTAAATTTACCTGCTGTCTTAAAAAAAGTGTTCTCCTGAGCCAATTAAAAAAAGTCTGTCGACTAAGACTAAGGCAATGCTAAATGGTGAAATGTTATTTTAAAAAAAAGGAGGAACGAATTTCACTAGACTCCGTTCTGTTCTTAGTTTTATGAGCCATGAAGACCCATGGTTCCCTGAAAATATACTGCCACTCTACTCTACTATTGGCTATCATTCTCCACTCATAACTTTCAAGGTCCTCTTTGATTTGCAGTATTAGAAATATCGACCACTTTTTCACTCATGAATACTTTCGATGAAGGTGTGGAGTTGAAGAAGAAAGCAAATTCAGTTGTTTCTGCCAAGCTTTCCACCTATTTTAAAGCCATCTTCAGGGCAAAACAATCTTAAATATTTCTAAAGATTAACATATTTAAGTTTTTACTGGCGATTTCAAATTTCCTTGAAGGATGACAGTTCCAACACTGCCAAGGACAAGTTGACCTCAAAATAGATGGAAAGCTTGGCAGTAATGACTGAATTTGCTTTCTTCTTCAACACCACACCTTGATCCAGAGTCTTCCCTCTAAGATGCCTTCCACCTCAAATCTTTTTATTTTATTTTATTTTTTTTTAAACGTCTTTTCTATCCTGCCCTGCTGACTTTATGTTTTTGAGGCGTATAGTACTAGTATTGACTTATAAACCCTGAATAAAGTTCTTTGTATTTAGTCTTGTTTTTAAAAGGTACATGTAAGGTCAACCCGCATTCAACCTTGCACCAATCTGTGAAAGTTTATTCTTGGCTGTGATTGTTTTTCCTAAATAATTAAAATTTTCTTATATTCTTCTCTCCATTCTATTTTTTTGGGTCTGCATACGGGAGGCCACTGCATACTCCATTTTCTTTATTAACTTGCAAACCCAACCGGTCTGTTTTCTCATGCAATTTCTGAAAAGACTGTTTATTTCTCTCTACGATGACTAGGTCATCGGAATTGAAGACAGCACTAGGCTCTACTTCATTTTATTCTTTTTGGAAATATATAAGCAGTTTAAATGATGTTTCACCTTCTTTACTGTAAGCCACCCCTCTCCCCATCTCAGCGGTTATGTGAAGAAAATGACATCATTAGAAAAACAATATGAAAATGGGTGTGATTTTGGGGAGACTGTATTTTGGGTGGGAATGTTTTAACTCACTTAATAAATGCCCAAACTTCCTTGTTGCCAATTGGATTATTTGCCATTGTGAACAGTACCAGAAATAATTCCTGGTCATCGGGTTTATTTTCAGTCAACATGTGGTCTAGCAACCTGTTTTAAAGAACAAAATTAATTTCTCTTTGCAAGCTTATATAAAAACATCTCACTTTTGGCACAACTCTGGGTCTTTAATCGATGCCAGTGACTCCAGATAAAGGCACTTTTCAATAGTGTCTCTTTCAGTTAAATATAATTCAAAGACCATTAGCCAGGCATCTCTGTTTGTAATGCCTGAAATTAAACATGTTTACAAATGATTGTACTTGAAGTTCAAGTTGAATGTTTTACCGTGTTTTACAATGACTCGTCTTATATCTACATGGTCTTTACTATGAGGGTTGTAGGACCATGTTTGGAACAAGTTGCCCACCTGTTCGATCATGTGTGGAATTCGTAGTTTACAACCTATTTTCAGCAAGGCCAACTTATACTTCCTGAAAAATACACTAATTAATATTTCTGAACAGATCCTAATACTTTTTACAATATGGAAAATTACTAATACTACTAATAAGGGTGGATACAACAATCGTAAATTACCTGTCTTTGATTGGCTCAGACGGTTCAATAAACCATAGCTCATCGGTTAATTGTCGATCAACGATACTTCGGGCGTACTCCTTTAAATAATTAATTAGGATTTCATAGTTATTGTAGGATAAAAGTACATGTCATACAAAAAGCGTCTCTACGTCCTTTTCATCATTGCTGAGAGCATTTCTCATAAGGGACAAATGTTTAGAAAAAGTAGCCCATGGTAGCCAGTGGTCTTCCTTACCGTATCTCAGATAAGTTGCTAACTGAAGAGGGATACCATAACAGACGAACCCTGCATGTGCCAAAAAAAATGAATCATCTAGTAAGTTGGCTCTGTCCTCGGGGGTCAACACCTGTGTAAATATAAAATGTTTAATCTTAAGCTTTATTATAAAATTTGAAAATTTTACCTCAGGGGTGTTCAGCAAAACTTCTCTTAAGTTCATCCATTCTTGCTGGTGATATGTAACTCTGTAGAAACCATGCTGTCTTATGTTCATTTTGAACCAACAAACGCCACTTGGAAGATCAGCTCTTGCTGCAAAGTGTAAAAATAGTCACATATTAAATATATTAATAAAAACTAATGTTATTTTAACGTATGAAATAAATAAAACCAAACCCTCTTTTTCATCGCTTGAAAGCCATAACAGTTCGGGTTCACAAGGATTCAAAGAAGTTACATACTGGATTGGAACATCCCATCGGAATCTAAAATATACATTATTAATCACAGAGAATGACACTTCGGGATATTTTGTCTCACTGATAAGGCGAATCCTGTGTGTCAAAACGAAGTGCAATATCATTAAGGCATCTTATTTGCTGCACTGCAAGTGTGCATGTTCCTCTTGCAGCTAAAATCAAGGGATATCCTGGTTGTCCAACCCAAGTGTTGAACGCATGGACCCAATCTTCAGCATGTACAGAATCATCTATGAGGCGCCAGAGGTCCTGGCTCGTCCCGTTTGAATATTTAAACATGTGAATGAAGTTTTGCACTCCTTTCCTAAATTTATCTGGATTGGTACTTTCGAACATTCTCAAGATTGCGGCTGCCTGATGCATAACTATTAATACAGATTTTACAGGAAATATTTTATTGAACTGACTTTTGTGTAAGTTATTGCATCAAAGACATCAGCAATGTCACATGGATAAATAACTTGCTGTAAGAGCTGTCGGGTGCATAGTGTTGCATCACTTACAAGACCACGATGAAGTTGTGCTTCAACAAAATTTGGTATCTAAAGGAAAAAGTTTAATTAATTAAAACAATTGCTTTCAATTTCTTTTCTATGAACAATTTACCCCTTGCATTTCAGGAAATATATCATCTAACATCAAGTTTGACAAGAACATTGCCATACCTTCTTTTAGCCAGATGTCATCCCACCAAACAATAGTTGCTATTATTTAATTGGTTATATTAGTCACTTTTATTTTTATACTTTCTAATCAAAAATACCAAGATTCCCAAACCACTGATTGGCCAGTTCATGGCCCATTGTATAATTGATAGTTTCCCAGTCGATAACATCTGCATCTCTGCTCATTTTCATTTCTCTGATGATTATCATGCCCCAGTTTTCCATTGCCCCAGATGCAAAATCTGGCACTGCCAAGATATCTGAAATGAAATTCAATTGTTCTGAGATCTCCTGCAAAATTTGCCCAATTGTTACCTAGCTTAGGGAGAGGATAGCTAATTTTAAAATAGTTTTCCATCCAGTCCATTGCATCTAGGGCTAATTTTTGTGTGTTTAACACATCCGGGTGTGTGGGTACTTTTGCAAACACCCTAATAGGTACTCCGCCACAAGAGGCCAGAACAGGGGTGGGTTTGAAGTTAGTAATAACAAATGCTAACAAGTATGTGGACATTGGGGGTGTTTTGTCAAAAGTGACAGTGCTATTTCCAGAACGAGGGCAAGACTCCACTTCACACTGTAAAAATTTAAAAACTACATTTTCTTTCAAAGATATCACACAAATATATCACCAGTTGAGGCATGTTTGATAAAGCGGTGTATCCATCAGGTTTTACAAGGCGGACAGAAAAAGTTGCTTTGAATGATGGTTCATCAAAACATGGAAAGACTCTTCTGGCATATTGTGGTTCCATATGAGTAAATACAATCAAACTGCAAAAAACAGCATTTGTCAAGTTATTTGAATAAATAAACAATTTCTGATGTCTTACTTTTCACTTTCATCGTTTGGTGGTTGAAGAGAACTCTTCAATCTTTGCTGAAACATACCAACGACGGAACCTGAAAGATCTCCGTTGAAATCAAATCTGAGAATATAAGCTCCTGGTGGCAATGTTTCTTCAGTCAGTATCACCCAATACTCATTCTTCTTGAAAGGAAATGCATCAAGTATAGGAATAGAGACACCATTTGCAGTGAAGAGCTGGCTGCTCAGCATATTCAGCCCTTTCATATGTAGGAAGAGATAATTTCTGTTTTCAAATACATCAATACTGGAATTGAACATTTCTGGAAATTAAACTTTACATTCGTTAATTAGGCAATGTTTGTGCTTCTGGTCCATTTGTGCTTACTCTATGGTGACTTTCCCGTTGAAAAAAGCCAGTTCCATTCTTGGGTCGAGATGTAAATCATAGTGCACAGGTCTGACAGCTTCTGGAAGTCGATGGTCAAATTCCCAAACCCTTGCCCTCCATATATCAGGGCACATTTTTTCTAGCTGGAAAATATGAATATTTAATCACAATGGATAACTGTTTGGCGAAGAACAGTTCAAATGAATATAAATAAACACCAATAAAATAGTATATAATTAATTAAACCTTTAGTGATTTTCCTAGGCTTTGTTTTACTAAAAATTGTTATGCTTTGATTGACTTTCAACTAACGTTTTAATGAGGAACAGATGTATTAAAAAATCAATAGTATTGTGTATGCTATTACATTCTATCATCATACATTGCAATGCATCATAGTTATTTTTAGGTTTCAATTAATTAAGGTTTTTATCTAAACTAAAAACCTTAATTAATTGAAAGATATTCATTGGTCAAGCGGACCACGAAAACTAGTGAATTTAATAAGTTATTTTTAGGCTTTATTTTTCTAAAAATTGTTATGCTTTGATTAACTGATGTTTAATTTTTATTGTGTTTCTACACATTCTATCATGATGCGTTGTGCCAGGAAGTGTAGGAAAAAGTTGTTCCTTTATATTCAATAAAAAATATTTTCTGATTTTTGAAGTGGCAAGGATGTATGTAAAATAGGTGTTTATCAAGGATTCTGGTTAATGTATACAATTATTAATTAATTATACAACAAAAATAATCTCAAAATACTTTCTTCTGCGGCGAAGTTCAGGAATATTGAAGTAAGATTTAATGGAAACATGAGAGGATTTATTATTGTGACATTCTATTGTGAAAATTTATGTAGGAATTTATTTTGAATGGTTTGTAGAAGTTTTTTTATCAGTATAGTTGTGCAGATTCTAGATGATTGAAGCATATTCAAGAATAGGTCAAACAAGTGAATTATATAGATGAACATAACAAGAATGATTTTAGTACTGACAGGTACTTCGGGTGATGTTGCCAAGCATTTTAAAGGATCGATTTTGGATTTCTTGTAGATGTAGATTAAAGGTAAGCTCTGGTTAACAAGCTTGTGTAATATAAAATAAATATGAACGCGATCTTTAAGTATAGCAGAAGGGAAGGGCATAATGCTACTTTTTGAGCAAATGGGATCAATCAGTACAAAAGTAAACAAAGTATTATTTATTTTGACTACGATAGCTCCTAATTTTCTGTAACTAATATAGAAAGATATTGGATTTAATTTTAAAGTAAATAGAGTGGTGCGTTAATTTGTCCATCATTATTAACGAATATGGACGTATTATGTGGGAGGACTCCAGGACGACGCACGATCTTGGGTTTTACAGGCCCATCACCAAAAGGCCGAATATGCCAGAGTTGGTTCTTTCGCGTCTTTATTATTTTAACTTTATGATCCATGGACATTTAAAATGTTCACTTACCATGTCTGTCACCCTCATGACGTGAGGTAGATTTGTCTGTCCGTTGTGAGCCATGTCGGTCTTTAATATTTGTGATTTCGATGTCTGAAGAATATGAAAGTTTGTGTAGTTGTCGTGATGGCGTTTTGTGAAATTTATGAAAATTTCAGCTGGGATAAGACGAAGAGTTGTTTTCTTTCATAATCAACACATGATTTTTGTCCCTTTGTGAAATTGTGTTATTACACGGTTGATCGAATAGTTTTTCTCAATTGACTTTCTTTTATACCGATTAACACGCGGTAACGTATTGCCTGCAGGCATAAAAGTACGCATACCGATTAATACGCGGTAACTTACAGCCTGCAGTCATAAAAGTACACAAGTATTTCTTTACAATAAAGACGGTTTTTACAATATTTCCTACAAGTACTTGAAGTTAACCAAGGAAAATTTTTTAAAATATATTTTCAACAATATCCATGACATAGTAGTGACCACCTGTGGTTAACACGTTATCCAGCTCTGTATATTTTATGTTTTCATACATTCAGGTTGAAAGGCCAATAAGAAGAATAAGAAGAAGAAACAGTAGAACAGATCCTCTCTCGTGTGTGTCTGTGTCTGTCTGTCTCTCTCTCTCTCTCTCTCTCTCTCTCTCTCTCTCTCTCTCTGTGTGTGTGTGTGTGTGGTGTGTGTTTATGTTGGTCGCTGAGGGCAAGGTCATAAATAGATCGACTCCTTTGAACCTTAACCGAAAATATTAACTAGTTTCTTTAGAGAATGGTATGGCTACATATTTATTTCCCACGTCATATTTCTTCAATATTTACACCTAATTCGGCAAAGTATTATCACATTTTCCTTTCATGTTGTTAGGTCATCTGCCTACCTATGTATAGTATGCTAAGCTGTTAAGCTCTGTGATTAGTTCATTTATTACCAGCAACTATAGAAGTGGCGATAGTACCTCTCCTTGGGGGCTATCTTTGGCTAGGTGCAATTTGTATAGCCTGATGGCCAAGTTCTGCGCTTATTATCCAACTTCTTAGCATTGCTAACATACTAGGTAGCATAGCTATATTCAGAGGGTATATAACCTTTCTTTGCGACTTTGCACTGCCGTTTCAATGGATCTACACGAGATATTGTCAGCTCCTTCTATTTCCATGAAAAAGAGAACTATTTTTTTTATTCTGTAATGATTTATCTGATCTACCAATTGGTCTCTGTAGAATTGTTGCGTCGTGTTGTTGATAGTGAATAGTTTTTTGCATAAGGTTCTTAATCTCTAAACCTATGAATTTCTCCATTGTCTTTTGTACTGTTTATGCCACATCCTCTCCTACCCCTTTCGTCTCTTCTATATATATCCTTTGGATATGTGCTTATTAGATGGCCCTAAAATTGTTAACTAGGGTTGGTGCCTGGAATTGCCATCTCTGTTGTAGTAGGGGGAAAATGTTCAAAAGCTTGACGACAACTCTTAATTTGTGTAATCTGTTACCTTGCATAATCATTCATCATCATCATCTAACAGTAGGGAGAACAAGTACTATTTTGTTACAAATAAATGAATTAATTCTATATGAGTGTTCAACTTTTGCATTTTAAAAAATATTGATCAACATAATGAATTTTTTGAAGTCGTGAGGAGCGATCAAGAATGAGAAAGTTTAGAAAAACATTTTTTAAATTTTTTGCTGACGTTCGACGTCATCTTCAGAGCAGAAAGTGTGGTGCTATTCTTTTGGTGTCATATTGGTTTTATGTGAAAATGTTATGAGTGAAGCAAGTTGAAACACAACGCTTTCACACAAAACCAATATGACACCACAAGAATAGCACCACACTTTATGCCCTGAAGATGACCCGAATGAAGGTCGGAACGTCGACAAAACAACGAAAAAGGTGTTTTTCTAAACTACCTCATTCTTGACCGCTCCTCACGACTTCAACAAATTAGGGAACAACGGGTTACCATGCAACACACAAACATGATGAATGTTTTAGCTTTTTACCAAATAATACTTTTAAATCCAAGGTTATTTATCTAATTGTTTTTATTAACATTTTTAACAATACAAAGCAGTATTTTAACGCAGATGGCGTTGAGAAGATCCGTTTCTGATTGAAGGCGGTTTTCGTTTAATCAAACTTAGTCAAAATATTTCCCATCTGATACTTCAAACCCAGTGATGTCCTCGAAGTTTAACATTAAAAGTACACCGAGTATAACAAATATATGTCAATGCACCTAGTGGAAAACAAATGACGTGATTTCAAATCCATCCTTGGCCTCCAATTGAGCGTATCAACCGTTTATTAATTTCTCAACCAAGTCTGAGTGAAGTAATAGAGTTGTGGACTGTGAACAGAAGGCTTTCACCTCACACTAAGTCAAATAGTTAACGATTTTCGTACTGAAAATCTTTAAATACAGTCCCTTGGGGTTTTCCTATTGAGAACATTTCGATCGAGACGCAACACAGGTAGATCTTTTGATTTCCAATTAAGAATAAAACAAGATTGGCTGAAAAGTTTGTCGGTTTTTTTAAAAAACGTTTTAAACAATTTTTTAAATGTGTAGTTTGAATTATAAAATGGGAAAATGTATAATCTATATGAAAAAACAACAACACCGTTTTCAATATTTTAACATGCAAATTAAAACCAGGCATTGAACTTTCTTCTTTTCCATATTTGGATAATTTTGTTACATTAGTGTCTCTCCTTTTTTTACAACTTAACATATTTCGAACAAACATGGCAATTATTATGGCGAAAATGCCGAAACGTCGCATTAAAAAGTAGTAAGTGTATGCATATATTCTAAAAAAAAGTAGCCCCCCCCAAAAAAATAACTATCTAATATTAAAAATAAGTTACATTGTGTTATTTATTTTTTTCCTTACTACAGTAACCCTGCAAATTTCTATGTGCCCCATACGGATTGCACGCTAATATTCTAATATTCTAATCTTCTATATTATTATTTTTTAAATAATTTTGAAGATCTAATAATCTTATTTATATTTTTTAGTATTAATGATCCAATTAATATTATACTATATATTTCTTAAAAAATATACTAAAAAAAGACGTTATACCTAAAACGTGAAAAGCAATACTAACTTGTTGTTTATCAAACACTGTATATCCACTTGGCTTCCATATAAAAATTTATTTTTTTCTTTTTAGCTTGCTAAGAGAGACCAATGACCTGGGTTTTATCGTGCTTTTTTCTCTCCACGGGAGATTTGTGTTTGATCGCAGAGTTCATGAATTTAAAAGAACTGCATTCTTAGGGTTCGATGGGATTCTTCTAATTCTACGAAACTGCTCCAATAAAGAAAAGTCTCCCGCCGGTGTACTGTTACAGCCTACCTGTCCTCCATTTGGTTTTAGCAAAGGTAACAGCGATCATCCAGAGCTGAAGTCTGGAGAACCAAGGTATTCTTAAATATATATATATTTTTTATTATGATATATTTGCATGTTAAACGCTTATCAAATATGATAAGAAAATATAAACACTAAGTGTACTGGATAAATTGAAACTGCGTTCTATTGAAACTTGCTGTTTGTCCGATGATGATCTGATCTCATCTGTTTCATCCGGGTGCATTTTATCTTTTGACTTCAATAGTTTATTTAATGTGCCCATTTTAAAATCTCTTTTGATCCTCAGTGGTGGGTTTTGACCATGACTCCTTATGACAAATGATTTTGTACCTTTAAAAGAGAAAAATATGTGAGGTATTGTTGGCAAGAGCGACTACTACTAATCAGATTTTCAACAAGACAACAAACCTGAGTTTTATTTTGAATTCATAAATATTAGATTCAACTGGTAGTCTCATAACAGAAACAAGAGAGTCAACACTGCTCTGTACGTAGTTTTAATGGATAATTCTTTGCCGTTTGTGCTGGAGAAAGTATGTAAAGAATAGGTCCTGAACATCTGGGTTAAGGTTTTATTATTCACTAACAATAATTTTTAAATATATTTTAACTTTATGTATTTCATCTGTTTATTTGTTTCTAATGGTTGTCCTGTCTGCATCATTAGAGTGTTTACTTATTTTTATCGTAATTTTTATTACAAGATGAAGTCCTGACTTGGAAAATTCGATCTATAAAAATCTTTTTTATATTTTTTTCGTTTTATTTCAGATTTATAACTGTAGACTTAACGATTATTTGGAGATCGTGAGATGCGGTCTGGTGTGACGTAGGCTTAGAAAAACATTTTCTTTATCATGGCAACGTTTCGATCATTATTGAGATCATCATCAGGGTCTGGAATTTATAAACATTGTATCATTTAAACATTAAAGAAAAAATACAGTAAATAAAATTATTTGGAGGTCGTGAGATGCGGTCTGGTGTGACGTAGGTTTTAGAAAAACATTTTCTTTATCCTGCTAACGTTTCGATCATTATTCAGATCATCTTCAGGGCCTGCGATTTATGAACATTGTTTCATTTAAACATGAAAGAAAAAATACAATTAATAAAATTATTTGGAGGTCGTGAGATGCGGTCTGGTGTGACGTAGGTTTTAGAAAAACATTTTCTTTATCGTGCTAACGTTTCAATCATTATTCAGATCATCTTCAGGGCCTGGGATTTATAAACATTGTATCATTTAAACACCAAATAAAAAATACAATAAATAAAATAATTTGCTGGTCGTGAGATGCGGTCTGTTGTGTCGTAGGTTTTAGAAAAACATTTTCTTTATGGTGCCAACGTTTCGATCTTTATTGAGATCATCTTCAGGGCTCAAAGTGTTTGTTTTCAGTGTAGATGTGACATTCTTGTGTGTCGTGTTGTGAGTGCTCTGAAGATGGTCTCAACAATGATCTAAACGTTGGTATGATAAAGAAAATGTTTTTCTAATCCTACGTCACTCCAGACCGCATCTCATGATCTCCATGTAATCATTAACTAACGGTCACTTAACACCACACATTTGCAGAATTAACTACAAAAAGCAAATATAATGTTGAGCGAAGTCACTCAGGAGAGATAGTAGCATTGGCTTGTCACTCGCTATCACTCAAGATGAGCTCATGAGGCCATCGGGGTTCAACCGGTGTTGTGGACTCTCGGGAAGTGTGGTAGAGGAAAATTTAGTGATGGTTAGGGATGGTTCGGGGTTGATAGTTGGGTTACTAAAGGCTAGTACACACTCGTAGACAAAATCGCTCAACTCCTATCATAGACAATATGCGACTGCCAATCGGGAACAAATCGCTTATCCTGCAACTACCTATAGACAAAAATCGCAGGTGTATGGTCTCCAAGAATACTTGAGATATGGCGCAACATTTCGTTATTGATGACCTCAGAGAGGCTGGAATGTAGCTCATTTGCTGCATGCTGCACAATTGCTAAAGGTTGCATATTGGTGGTTAGCCGGGTGAAATGTCTGAAACCTGAACTACTAATTTTAATTTTTCCAGAAAAATCAAATGTAGGACCAAATACTAAAACATTCCTTGTCCACCATCGCTACGATTAATTTTCCTTTTTTGATCAAAAATCAAAACTGAACAAGCAGCAGAGCTGCTGTCTCGTCATGTAATCGCGGAAACTAGTTTAACTGAGTTGTGCAGGTGTGAACGCGTGTCAAGGCATCTTGGATTCGTTCCGGAACACTCTATCGACAAAATCGGCGATTTTCTACGAGTGTTAAGAGATTAAGATAACCAGTGAGTGTGGTGTGAAATTTGCCGTTCTCGATTTGGTGGAGTGGGAAACAAAAGGGTTGTTGTAGTAAGGAGATTTGCGTTTTGGACTGGATGGATAGTATTCGATAGTAGTTGGATGCTTTGGCTCTACCTCATCATGTCGGACTGGTGGCGGTCCGTGTCCAGATTTTTGTCTTTAATTGGTAAGGGTAGTTTGGTATGTCTAACAATGAGTCGAGTTTGTATCAACTATTGAGTAATTATCGTTTATCGTGGATTGAGTTAGGATAGACACGTCACGACCTCTTTAGATTAAAAATGAAGAAAATCCGTTCAATTTCATCCTATCCAGAGCGAACTTTTCGAGTGAGTTCATTGTTTGTGATGTCGCAATTAAAAATTTGTTTTCTTGGATGAAAAAATGCTTTGGCCAACGACATAGTCCAATTCTGGGTGTGCCGCGCTCTACCATCCACGATGTTCTACAGCGGTTTAGGGCCACGAAAGTCTCGATCAAACAGAAGGCAGTGATTGACCGCGATGCATGACGGCTAGAGATGGTCGTTTTATAGCTCTTATCCCACATTTAACGGCTTACTTGATACGTAGTCAACTCCAAACTACTCAAAATGTAATCTTCATCAGAAGGCATGAGAATAGCCTAGTCTCTAGACGTACAGCACCTAGTACTAGTGGACTATTGGAGAGGCATCGAGTAGAAAGGCGACATCACAAATCACCGTCTCGTTTGAACACGTCATTTCTTTCAAATCATCATAGTTAATTAATTTTTACTAAAACTCATGAGCTTCTTTTCTCGTTTAGTTTGGTTTCAATTAAAATAAGTACATATGTTGTAATTAATATAGCGATAAAAATACATAGAATTTAAGATAAGCAACAAAATCCTAGTGTCCAGTTATTTTGTTTTTGAGTATTATATGTAATACAAAAGAGAATTGGCTTGACAACATAGACACTGAATGTCAGTTAATCATTACACTTATTATGGTAATGTTACTTGACTTTTGTCTTAGTTATTGTACTGTTTTATTTAATAGTATTTCTATTTATCATATATGCTTAAAATTAGAATAGATTGTCCGTCTACTCTATACAAATAGTGAAATAGCTAGATAATTGTATAACAATGTCTAGGTCAAGATGTATTGTTTCACTCTCTGTTATCTTAGGTTGTTAGCCATTGTTGTTTGACGAAAAAAATTATCTTTTATTTTTTTGAACACCCCCTACCAATGATCTTCCAAACCGTATCCACTCCCTTTTAAACGCTAAACGTCAAGCTATAGGGAATCACTCAACATAGAAAATCAAACCTATTCGCAACCCCGACTTCCTCTTCATATCCTTTTCAAACCTAGAAAATACCCTGGGCATGATCTAATTACCTCCACCAAACTTCTAAACCTATCACACAAGGCAACAGTTTTCGTAACCGCAATATATAATGCCATCCTACGAACCATTCACTATCCTCTCTTATGAAAATTTCCGTCGTTATTCTCATTTCTAAAGTTCACAAAACCACCCAACTTCTACAGACCCTGCATTTCCAAAATCCTGGAAAGACTCCTTTTAAAGCGATTAATTCCAAACATAGATCCTGATAAAATGAATCGCTCTAACAATTCGGCTTCCGCATCATTCCACGACCCAACAAGGTTTTAGAGTTGTCGACACCATTTCCTGTACTCTAGAGAAAAAAAGAGTATTGCTTGAGTGAGCCCTAGATGTAGCACAGGCTTGTTTGTTCCTTAGGGAAAACAAGGCAGCAACCAATTTTTGTTGTTTAAAAAAAATCCATTAACGCAATATTAGCTGGACTGTATGATTATCAGACCAGCATTGTTATACTAGTTAATCGTAGTATTATTGCCAATTTCCAGCTAAAATAGCCCAATAACCAAATGGATGTCAGCCTAATAAGATTTCTTGGTCTCATCCTTTATATCATCTGTATGCTGACCTACCTGTACACCACAATATCAGTATCACCACGTACGAGTACCGCAATTTTGTCCTATAACTCGAATCCTGTTCAAACTACCTCTAATATCTAAGAACACCTTAAGCTTATCGAATACTGGTGGAAATAGTGGAGTACAAGCCTAATGAAGAAAAATGTACTCAATGTACGTTCACATTGAAAAAACAATCTTGCTGTACATCAACAAAAAAGAGGTACCTACTTCCATTCAAGTCAAATACCTAGGACTAAACCTATACATCAGACTGATCTGGAATCTCCACACAAGACGAAAACGTCAACAACTTAACAGAAGACTTGTACAGCTACGAAGTATAACCGAAATATGTCTTGACCGTCAACACTAAACTAATCTTTACTGCGTCTTCTTTGGGCATAGTAAGTGAGAACTGTGGGGTTCTTCCAAGCTAGCGAACATCCAGCGCATGCAATTCTTCCAATCAAAACTCTTCGATCAAGTTCCTTACTACGTCACTAACCTCGCTAACCTCATTAGTCCTTTTGACAACGAACTGGTCCGTTCCCGATTCTAAAACTTTCACACCTGCCTCTCGATCCATCCTAACCATTCTGCTCGAGCCAACTCCCATCCCGAGAACCCGCCACGTCGCCGATGGCCTCGAGACCTTGTCTCCTAATCCCTCACACTAAGTCCTTGCGTACTTCCCCATGCCATGTGTCCTCCGGGTGCTGGCATTAGGGTTAGTGCTGTGACCGTGTGAAAAGAAAAGTACCGTGATGTTTGT